GGTAAAACTATTAGAAATCTAGTAATTGTTGGTTGGAAAATAGGAGAGAACTCTGGTTTGGACCAAAAAAAATCTGGCCCTACGAGAAATTCTACTTACCACTGTACATGCATTAAACCATTGACCTACTGACAAAGTAACAGCGTTCATGAACGTATATTGGTGGGCGAATAGAAATAAGGCTGCACAAAGTGCCTGTCCCGCTGTCCCACCTGTCCACACCGCCCCAACGCATTTTAAACTGCCCAAAGGGCCATTCATTTAAGGTTTGGCAAGTGAATTTCATGCAGCTTCCCCCATCTCATGGATAAGTTTTAGTCATGGTTTGTATGTTTCTTCACTGAATCAAAGCTTTCTCTTGCCTATTCTGTGGCTAAATATTTGTTGGATTTTTCCCAACCTGGGGAACCCTTTTCAAACTTCATAGCAATTGGGGAATCCATCTTACTGGTCAGGCACTTTGACTAGTCTATGTCAAAAGAAGGTTGTGTGAACACCATCCTCAATCCTTGGGGCTAGCTGCATGTGCTAATGGCACTATTAAGAGTCAGTGGGCATAGAAGGAATGTAAACTAGTTCGACCATTGCGGAAAGCAGTATGGAGGCTCCTCAAAAAACTAAAAATAGAAATACCATTTGACCCAGGAATTCCACTCCTAGGAATTTACCCTAAGAATGCAGGAGCCCAGTTTCAAAGACATATGCACCCCTATGTTTATCTGAGCACTATTTACAATAGCCAAGAAATGGAATCAACCTAAGTGTCCATCAATAGATGAACAGATAAAGAAGATGTGGTACATATACACAATGGAATATTTTTCAGCCATAAGAAGAAAACAAATCCTACCATTTGCAACAACATGGATGAAGCTAAAGGGTATTATGCTCAGTGAAATAAGCCAGGCAGAGAAAGACAAATGCCAAATGATTTCACTCATCTGTGGATTATAAGAACAAACAAAAACTAAAGGAACAAAACAGCAGCAGACTCACAGAACCCAAGAATGAACTAACAGTTACCAAAGGGAAAGGGACTGGGGCAGTTGGGAGGGAAGAGAGGGAGAAGGGGAATAAGGGGGATTACAATCAGCACACATAATGTAGGGGGGGGCACGGGGAAGGCAGTACAGCACAGAGAAGACAAGTAGTGACTCTATAGCATCTTACTATGCTGATGGACAGTGACTGTAATGGGGTGTGTGGTGAGGACTTGATAATGGGGGGAATCTAGTAACCACAATGTTGCTCATGTGACTGTATATTCATGATACCAAAATAAAAAAATAGTAACAGTCAGCGGGCAAAGTTGTAGACAATCCAAAAACAAACACCTTGGCCAAACTACTGCCACTGGTGCTTCTAAATCTCAGATCCACCCCTCTGGGACCCATAGACTCTCACCCTCTGAGATGTCACAGGACGTCCAATGAACTTGGCCCTGCCTCCTTCAACCCACAGCTGACATTTTCTGGTCGGGACAGTGATCTCTGGATGGTCAAATCAAACTTCTCTAGGAGTGAGAACTAAGTCTTGCAAGGCAAACAGGGTCTTTTGAGACCTTTGATTTTTGAGGAAGAATTATTAATTGGTTACAGTTATGTATATATGCATATAAGAAGCAATCAAAACTTCCAGAAGGAGCTCCCCAAACTTGGTTCAGAAGGAAGTTTCTAGAGGTGACTCTAGATATTTGTGTGGAGATGGAATAGGCAGAATCAATGGCACTGGGGGAAAGGTAGAGAGGCTGAAGGTGAACAGGAGTTACTGAAAAGGATTCTAGACAACTCAGACATAATAACCATTTCCCCAGCACAGAATGGACACTAAGTTATTTTTGGATGGAATCTAAAATCAGCTTCTCTAACAGCTCTTATATGAAAACATTTTAAAAAGCACTTTTACTGGTTACTGCATTCAAGCCTCAAGATGCCTAGGGGCTAATGGGTCTGCAAGTGGGCAAAGAACTAGGCTTGGTTTTCTTGACCCCAAGCTCAACTACCCCTCACACTCCGGCAAGGAAGCCAATGAGTTCTTTGGGTGGGATGGGAGAGCACTTTGGTAAAAAACTGGTATCTCACCCATGCTGTTTTTCTTGTTTACAAAAGAGTTACTACTGAAACCATTTTTAGGTATACAATCAGTGGTGTTAAGTATATGCAGAATGTAGTGCAAACATTACTACATTATGTTCCAATACTTTAAACTGTTTTTGCGCTTCTTGGTATATAGTCAAATCTGTCAGAGAAATGATCCTTTCAGAAACCCAGGTTTTTGTTGGACCTACCCACGAACCCCTCATCACCTGGCTCAGGCAGCCCCCAACCCAGAGAGGAGCTGGACCAGAAAGCACGGCGCCCTGATAATACTGTTCCAGGCATGGGCTGAACTATGGTGCCCGAGTGTGTTCTGGAGGGTAGAGGAGGGCTGAGGCTGCAGGAAGGCTTCCTTCAAACTGAGAACAGGTCTCCTGTTTTGAAAGGCGGGGGCCTAGAACCAGGAAGCCATGTCCTAAAATATGAAGCTTGCTGGTCTCTGACCCTAAGCCTTCTCAGGACTTCTCTGGAGCTCTCTCCAGAAGAGAAGGCATGGATTTCTCTTTCAAAGGTGTTTTTCTGCCTTTTCCACGCCTTTTGGAGAGTTTTAGGTCTTCTGATGGGGGTATGCTTGGGAATGATTCCACTTGTGGCTCTGAGCTTTCATGGGTAAAATAAACACTTGGATCTGTGCCACATCGGGCTCCGAAGAAAAATCAAAAGTTTATTCCAAAATAATTCCAATTTAATAACTTAAAGGTGCACATTCCCCAAACTTTAAACACAGAAAGACTTTTATCTTCAATATGAACTGGGAAAAAAGCCATCTAAACCACCTAGCTTTGAGGTACAGCAGGGACAAGGGACAAGCATCATGTTTTGTATTTTCTGCCTATGATGAAAAGTGCCAAGATACAAATAGTATAGTCAGAACAGGAGGGACCCCATCTTAAGGCTAGATTCCACTTGGCAAGCAGTCCTAAATAATATGCCCCCACCACTTGAGGGGATCCACTATCTTGGAGATGACGATCAAGAAATTCCTGTGTTAAGCTTATCTGACAGAATATCTAGAGGACTGTATGGATGGTGACATGTGTCTCACGGGAGAGAGATATCATGAGACCACATGTCAAGCCTATGCATCCCTTCCTTTGCCCCATTTCTGAAATCCTTAAATGACAGAATGCTAAGCCCTTAAGTGTTCCTCCTCTCTGAGGCTGCCCCACACTCCGTTCTTCATGTGCACTTTGCCTTAAATAAAAGCCTTCTCACTGCCCAGCTTATTGCCTTTTGTCCCCAAGCTCTTCCAAGCCTCTTGGGGGGGTTAATAACAGCCCCGTCTTCCCAGTGGTATGCTGCATTGCTATTTCATTCAACTTTGCAGACGTAAGCAAAATTCTTCACCTTCTGTCCTACTTCAAACAAGCAGGGAAGGGCTGCTGGGATCTCTGATTTGGGCTTGCAACAAGGGACGCCCAGTGGCCCTGACTGTAGGAGCTGGCAAGGGAATTGCCCCATGCTGAGCAGTTCAATGAACTTCCCTTTCCTCCCGTTCTCCTTTGCTCTCTACGGACTGCGTGGCCGCCGCCATTCACCACCACTGTGGCTTTAACGAATTCCCCGCTTACCTACTCTCCGACCTCTTGGAGAATTCTTTCCCGAACAGAGTCAAGCGTCCTTCCCCCTTGGGGTTGAGGTTTCAACTAGCGCACAGGGAGAGAGCTCCCCAGACCCAGCCCTTCCGCGACAGACCGCCGTCCTTGGGCTCCACAAGCAGCAGCTGCGTTCCAGCCAGGCTTTATCTCCCGCCTCTAGGCATCTCCGGTTCTGGCTCCGCCCGCCCAAGCGGCCACCCGCTCGTCTAGGCCAGACGGCGGGGACGCTTACCTGCGGCCGGCCCGGGCTCCACCAGTACTCGCGGGCTCCCGAAGCACCGGGCGCCTAGCCCCCCGGGGGCCGCGCCGCGAGGCCCCGCGTTCGGGCGGAGCAGCACGCGCGCCAAGCGAAGCCCTGCCGCCAGCGCCATCTTGACCCGCCAGTCCCCCGTCCACGCCCCGCCCCGCCCGGTGCAACCCTCCCGCGGGTAGGGGCCGGCGGGCCAAGGTCAGGCAGCCGGGCGGCGGGGGCGGGGCGGGCCCGGCCCAAACACCGCAGGCGGGACCGGAGCGCTCCCTCCACTGGGCTGTGCCGGTCTCGTGCTGCCGGCCAAAGGCCGAGTGGCCCCGGGAGGCTGGAGGGTGTGGATGGGGGAACCGCGCAGAGGCCACTGGCAGAGCTTGAGCCCCAGAGAGGGTGTGAGCTTAAGTGGTAATAAGGGGCTTTGGGGACACCTGGCTATGATGGCATCTCGGTATGGAAGGCATCCCGCCAGGGCTGGGCACTGCAGAGGGGTTTCTGAGGGGGCCAGGGGGTGCCCCAAGTGGGAACTCAGCATAGCCACAGGCATGGGCGTGCAGCATGAGCTGGTGACTTGGAGCAGACCACCCACCCTCCCCGTCACACAGCAAGCACGCAAGCACCAGGCAGCGTGCTCCCAGTTAAGGGTAGGGGCGACAGGTGTCCTCAAACTACTGGGGTGACTGCAGGGCCATCTCTGAGGGGAAGGGAGGCCACATGCTTTTATTTGCTCAATCTTGCAGGAGACACACAGAAGATACCCAAGAAACAGAGATGGTCACCCACCAGTAGCCATGGTCTGGTCTGACCATGTGATCTGCACACCAGACACAGGAGGGGGGCCAAGTGCGACGTTGGGCATGTAGCAAAAACCACCTCACGTTTGTCCACCCCCAGGAGCAGCCAACCCTAAGTGAACTGAACCGATGTTGACTGGACAATTCTGGAGATGTGACTTTGGAAATGGATCTGAAATTCACTTCACAGACAGGAATGTTCTTAATTCCCTCATGGCTGAAGCTGTCTTTGGGGACAGGATGGAGGCAGTCAACCCAACACTCCATCTGCATTCTAATCCTAGGTTTATTCAATACAACCCTTTCACTCTACACAACAAAGTACAAACGCAGCATTATATAATGCTACAAAGTTACAAAACTCAAAACAGAAAATTTATAGTACTGACTGTACAATAAAACCCCAAGATGCAATGTACATACTGCCAAAGGGAACCTACAAGCCCACCATGAGTAACAGCTGCAACAGGAGCTCCGTGATGACTACAGACCTGGCCCTCAGCTTGCTCACCAATTTCAGAGAGAAAGGGGACATGGGCTGTGCTGTGTGTGCACAAGGACATTAAAAACAACCATTTCTGGCGACTAACACAGGTTGTTTAGCCCTCAAGGTTGGAAGAGGACTCAAGCAGGGGAGCAGGGCCAGGCTGACAGGCGTGGCAGCTGCACCAAAGCATGCCTACTCCTGAGGCCCCAGGCCAGTAAGCAAGGGCACGACTGAGCCACCCAACTGGCTCCAGGCCACCTGTGGTATGACAATGCACTCCAGGGCTGGGGCTGCACTGCCACCCGGAGCCCTACTCATCCCTGCTGGCTTTGTCACTGAAATGACTCTCAACTGGAGATTGGGAGCTTTCTAGCCAGAAAACTGGGGGGGATTTTATAGGTACCCCCAAATCAACACATCTTTGCAGCCAGAACTCCATCTGCACAGGAAACACCTCAACTTGTGTCTTGAAGCCTGCCCCTCAGTGAGGATTTCTTTCCTACCCACCCTCCCTTGGCTAGGAATGGGACAAAACTGAGTTGGATGGGATATAAGTTACAGGGGGCAGAACTTCCGTGGCCCTGCTTATCGGGAGGAGTTGGAACTGGACCGGCTCCGATGGCGGCGGCGGCCAGGGGAACGAGATCGCCTGCGCACCGGGGACCTGCGCCTTGGGGAACGTGACCTGTGGGAAGAGGAGAGACCACATCAGACATGCACAGGTATCATGGACTGCAGGGGTCAGGCCGGCCCCCTGCAGCAATGATCCCATACAGCCTCACGCCTGAGTACCCAGAGCCGGCGCTCCCTCCAGGGCACTGCTAGGGAGGCCTTGAGAGGGAAGGGGCTGCATGTTGCGAAGTCCAAAGGCACAGCCCCAGGCTCTCCCCATTTTCTGAGGGTGGGGAGCGTGCAGCTCAACACCATTAGCAGAGGACAGCCAAACGCTGGCCTCTGCCAAGGGCATTAGCACCATCCCCTCCCTACACCTCTGACCAAAACCTCCTCCTCTCCTAACCCTTCCTACTTCTTCACTGGGAGAGGGGCCTGCACTGGTCAAACAGGATCCAAACTCCTGGAAATACTGGTGCGACCCATAAGGCCTGCTCCTCACCCCAGCAGGAGCACACAGGAGCTCCAAAGGCACCACACCACCCCTGCTTCCCCACCCCCATCACAAGGCACAGTGACCACATAAGGTCCTAGGAGTGTCACCATCCATGGTGTTCAAAGCCCAGGTTGGGTCCAGTCAGTCCCCATGTGAGACCGCAATCGACTCACCTTCGCCTCATCCGTGGGGGTGACCGGCGCCACATGGGAGGTGGTGGCAGCATTCTCCTGGGAGGGCTGAAACGTCGGGGAGGCGGCCTAGGCCAGGGGGCCAGCACAGCAGTGGCAGTGATCTCCTGGCCATCGATTTGTCCTGTTCAAGAAAGGATCAGGTTACTAAATATCTAACAGGTGCCTACCCTAGGCCAAGCCCCATGCCAGATGTGGACATGAGCAAGATGGACGGGCCCAGGGGAACTACGACAAACTGAGCTCATCCTAAAAGTAACTGCATGATTACTATCACTGGACATCTCAAGAAAACCATGGGGGCATGGAACGCCATGGAGACTCCTCTGTGGTGTGCTGGGGCAGCCTCCCAGAGGAAGTGCTGGAATCCACTAAGTGAAGGGACTGAAGGGACTGCGGTATTAGCACTGAGCTTCCTTTTGTAAAGCAGCAGGAAGGGGACAAAGAGGAGTGGGGACACCTGTTAGGGCTGTGGCAGGACCGAGGTGGGGGTGAAGTGTAAGAACTCAATGATCAGTGGGCCACTGGTCACCAGAACTGACGAAAGATTGAGTGGAGGAGCTGGGAGTTTGGGATGAACTATGACCTCCTGAGAAATGGGGCTCAGGAAGAAGAAATTTCTGGGTGCAGCGACAATTTGAAAGGAGTTTCAGATGTCAAGTTTTTCTTAAGAGTTTAGAAAAATGTCTCAGGAAGGTGACCCCTAATACAGCCAGAATAAAAAACCATGTGTGTGAATGAGACAGAATGACATCAGCAAAGGGAAGCAGCTTAGGGAGGCCTGAGGAACCTGCAGGGCAGCACACACCCGACCTCAGTCCAGAGACCGTTCGGGGAGCCATACTCAGCCATGTACCAGAGTCAGAGGGCTCCTTTACCTTATCAGCTCCTACCTGAACCTTCGAGGGACTTCAAAGACACCAAGGGGTTAAGCCAGGCATGTGGATCTGTGTTCAGAAGACACTCAAAAGGCTAAACTTAAGTAAAGGCAGCCTAAGGCGGCCCCCCACCCACTGCCAGCATCCGCCAAATTAGGGGTGTCATGGGTGCTGAGTTTACAACAGATCCGTCTTCTGGACAGCCATCAGTACAGGCCAAGTCCTTCCACCTTCTTTCTGGAGACAGTGTGGATTTGCTCCATTAGATGGCGCACAGCACAATATGAGGATACCCACAAAATCCTATCAGAACCTTAAAAAGTGGAATGTTTATGATCATGTACACCCCAGATATGCCCAAGTCTCCTGAACTTTTAGCAAGTGCTCCAGCTGTCAAATACACAAGATGGGCTGTCTCTAAAAGGAAGGAGTGCTTCACAGGCCAAAAGCTGACACATGCAGTGATGGACTGTAGTTTATGATGAACGCCTAAACACTCCACAGGGGTTCCAGCAGATTGAAACAGAGTTAGCTAGGTATTAAAGAAAGTATCCTAGTATCCTCACTCTAGCATGGCCTAAGGGCAATTACCCAACAAACTGTTAAGCTACTTATCTAGTGCACAGCAAGCAGGGCCTCAGGGACTTGAGGTTCTAGGTATTCCCACTCTCCTCCCCACTTGGCCTGGCAGCCCCAGCTCTTGGCGCCAGCTGCCTGGATTACTACAGCAGCAGCAAGCCAGGGCAGAGAGAAATTCCCCATTCCTTAAAACAGACTTGAAGACAAAATGAAAGCTGGCCATCTGGAACTATGCACAGGTGTTCAAATGTTATTAAAACCATTTTGCCTAATACAAAATGGCCACAAGTGTCATACAGTTAAGATATAAACTTTTAGGAAATGGGTAATATTTGTAAATTCAGAAAAGTAATCCTAAAAATGCTGAAATTTAAGCCAAAATAATCTCAAGCAGGATTAAAGGAAACATTCCCATGTAAAAGCAAAATACTTCATTAAATTCGTATTTCTTATAAAACAAACAAAAACCCTCTATTTGATCCCTGAGCTTTTAACAGATTTTAAAAAGTTCCATAAAACATGTTTTTGATAAACACACATCCACTGATAAAGAATTAGAACCCTGAAAGAGTCAGGGAGAAATCTGATGTGCAGCCAGGTTGGAGATGCCTCCTAAAGTCCCTATATGTGGCAGGTAGCTGGTCCTGGACAGGGGACAGAAAAGGGAGGTCAGAGGAGTCTGGGAGGGTCACCCACCTCCATCCATGTGCTTTAGGGCCTTCTCGGCTTCATCTGGATTCTCAAACTCTACATATGCATAGCCTTTTGACAGATGGGGGTGCATCCTTTCTACAGGCATATCAATCATTTTAATTTTCCCATAGGTGGAGAATATCTCCATGATGTGATCCTACATGGAAAGAAGGGTCAGTTTCTATCACTTGTGTAAGTCTCAGAGAATTTGCCAGACTACAACCTTGGCATTCAGGGGAAGTCTCCTAAACACACAACTATAATGCACCCCATTAGAAGAAGTTAATCAGTGCTCTTGTATGAACCATGCACCATCACGCCAGTCCTCTGAAAGGTAACATTCTAAGTTCACCTTGTGGCAGAGGACTGCTTCTCCAGTTTTTCCATTTAAAAAAATTTCAGGAGACACACCCACTGTCCACTGGGTGGCTCTGGGATTCCTCACCTTGGTCACATTCCTAGTGAGCCTCCCAATGTGCACTTTGGTGGGTTTAGGGGAAGGGCTCCGCCTCTTCCTTTCCTTTTCATCTCTCTTGGGTAGTTTGGATCTGATTGAAGAAACAAAACAAAAGCAATCATTTTCTGTCAAGTCAAATTTTTTTTAGTGGGAATGTTAACTGCTAGCATGAGTTTTCTGTAAGGAAGTGCTGGCTACCTGTCAGTCATGGATATTACCCATCTCAGAAATCCTGTTGTTCAAAGACTCCCTTTTTGGTCTGGTTTTATGGTAGCTATGGGAACTTTACAGCCTCTAGCTTGTAAACCTAACTTCCCAGCTAATTCAGAGGCCCCCAGACGAGCCGCTTAGGGCTGAGCGGGGTTGGAGGAACTCACTTGGAGCGGGAACGCCTCCTGTTGTCATGTCTGCGTCGGGAAGGGCTTGGAGAGCCGGAGGAGCTGCTGGAACTGGAGCTGCGGGATGAGCTGGAACTACCTGAGCGGCTTGATGCCGAAGAGGAGCTGGAGCCGCTGCTGGAGCCCGTGCTGGTGCTCGAACCTGAGCTGGAGGTAGAGCTGGACCGAGACCTGAGGGACGAGATAGAGGGGGGCAAAGGCAGCAGTGGCTGGGAGCAGCATTTTCTCACAGCATGGACAAGCCTACATGTGCACCCAAAGAGGAAATTGCTGTCTCATATTTTAAACTGCTTTCTCCAGAAAGGAAAAGATATCCGCCTCCCCTCCTGCAAGCCGAAGCCCAAGGGGTGAACAGAAACCCGCATTCCCACTGTGCAGGGGTGGCAAAGGAAGAACACACTGCTTCCCACCTACACAGAAGCCCTGAGTGAAGGAGCCTGGCAAGTCAGAACACTACTTGCTTGCAAGGTGGTGCTGACTGACTCAGGGTGGTTTTCAATTGAAGGAAAAACAAGTTCTAGGCTAGGGCAACCCAACAAGTCTAAATAAAGAGCACTGAAGACAAAAGAATACCCCAAAATGTCTCTTTCCTTCCTTAACCTCTCTAGAAAAGAAAACCCCAAACCCATCTATACATAAGCAGAGCAAAGTCCAAACCTGTTTGCTCTAAGTCACAGTCTCTCCTAGCAACCTCAGGGTGTGCCTTCTTTAAGACAGAGCACTCGGTGGGCTCCTGGGGAGCGAAGGGGGCAGGACGGTGGCAGGGAGGCCCCCACATGACTCCCCCCAGCCCCACCTGGTGCTGCTGCTCCCACTGGACGCGCTGCGCCTCTTCCGGGTTTTATCTCTGCCACGATCCTTCTCGCCTGACTCCTTGGTGGCTCCTTTATCTTTAGAGCGATCCTTGGACTTCTCGTCAGAACGGTCTTTGCGTTTGGTAGGAGAAGGAGCCCTGAACGGTGAAAAGAGTGTGAGACCACATGCCTCTCAAACCAAACCCTGAAGCAGCACAACCCCCAAGAGGGGATCCATAGGCTACAAGACCCCAGGTGACCCCAGGGCAAAAAGATCTGTGGCTTAGGACACTTTCACTGCAGAATGCAAGACATTTCCAATCTTCCCCTTTCTGAGGGTCCCTAGCAACAAGCACCCCCAAAAGTAGCACTAGAAAAATCTGACAGGAGGATTACCTAGTGCTGGACTTTTTATTATTTTCTTTGACTCCTAGCAAGCTCTTCTTTTTCACTCCTGATAAATCCATTCTCCCCTTCTGAGGTGTTCAAAGCAGCAATGGCGGCCTCACTTATCTGAACTCTCACTTCTAACTCGAGTCTGAGAAACGATCCCTAATCGATTGCAATTTACGCCAAAGTGCAGCCTAATAACAAGATAAAAGGATTTATAGAGTGAACGAATGGCAAGAAAACAAATCCACTTTGCAGTCAAAAGCTGAGCACATGAGAACGCAAGCACACAGTAAACACCATCCACAAAGCCGGAGCACACGGGCCTTCACCGGTCCTCAGGGAGGATCCCCGCCCCAGGATGTACAGGCAGCTTTCGCCTCCGCATGTCTTTTCTTAAGGCAACGGCGGTGGTGTCCATCACTGTTAAATTTACAGGTGGTACAAGACCCATCTTTCACTCATAAGTTTGATGATGAGCCCTCGACAGCCCCTTAGAAATACTACAGCAGCTCACTGCAGATGCATAAGAGGAAAACCTGAGCGTGGCTCTCCTATTCGTTGCTGTCATTCCCTCACAGGATACACTAGACATATGATATGACTTGAAGCAAAAACCATTTCAAAATTAACTGGTACCAGCATCAAAACATTTAATACCTAAACACAAACAGATAAAATGTCCCATATGAACATTTAAAAGGCAGTAAAATAACAGTTAAAGAGTTGTTACAAACATTGAACTTTAATATGAATATCAAAGTGTTATGGGGGATGTATATGAAAGCCTACAATTTCTAAATGCAAGAAAAAATATTGATGAGGGGCTAGATATGATCAAGCAAATAGGGCAGAAATGGGACTTGTAGAATCTAGGTGATTACGTGGGTATTCACTGTACAATTGAACTTTCCTATGTTTACTTTTTTTCCAAAAATTAAGTGTCAGAGGAAAAAAAGGTAGATGCTGGAAATGGACAAGATACAGCATGGAAGGGTTTAGCAGAGTGCCTGGCCTGCAAACATGTTTAATCAGTGATAAACTGTCTACTAAAAACCAGCCAGGAACAAACTACCGACTCATGCCTTGTTTCCTGGGGACTGCTGCCTTCAGTATTTCCAGTGAGTTTCCACAACTTGCCTGAGTTGTAAGGAAAGACAGCAGGATGTTTGCCTCACCTTCCTTGATCACCTGTAAGTAACCTGGACACAGCATACCGATTGGGATCTTGTTTTCATTATGTGTAGGGATGCCCAAAATGCTGAATAAACATCCTGACTAGAGAGTGTGTGACTGGCTTTGGACAATCAAATGAGAGTGGAAGAGAGCAGAGTATCACCCACCCTTGCTACTGTTTTCCAGGGCTGTAAAATCTCTAAGGTGTCCACCTCTAAGGTACTACACACACAAGCAGGCACTAGGGGATAAGGTTATCGTCCTTGGACAGAGTATAATTCAGTGGTCAGTAGCTTGGAGTCAGCCTGTCTCGGTTTGATTTGAGGCTCTGCTGTGTGACCTTGAATAAATCACTTAACCCTTTTAAGTCTCAATTTCCTGTTAGCATTATGGTGACATTTACAGTGCCTACACTTCAGTTATTAAGAACATTAACCAAATTAATACATGAAAGACACTTGGCACCTAGTTAAGGCTCAATAAATTCTAGCTAATGTTACGAGGGATTTTTCTCCATGTTTGGAGGCTCCTTTCCCAGGTAAACTGTTGTCCAAAGTCACATACAATGAATGCTCAACAGGGGTCCCCGGCCCACTCCCACTCAGGACCACGAAGAGCAGCACTGACCAGGAGAAATGGTGTGCGAGCTACATGCACAACCTAAGGTTTCCTGGCAGCCACATTACAAGAAGTATGTTAACAGGTGAAATACATTTTTAGAAACGTAGCAGACACACTATACTCCAAGTATCTTTTCAACAGATAATTGGCATAAAAATTCATTACTAACATATTTACATCCCCCCCAATACCGAATCTTTTAAACACCTCCATTTGGGATAGGTATATTTCATAGTGCTCAACAGCTGTACGTGACCAGCAGTACCTTACTGAACAGCATTCATGTAGTGTGCAGATCCCCGAGACCCGCCCCCCACCAAAAGAATCGCCCAATTGTACTTTGTGTAAACAAGCAACACCCGTTATTATCCTTAACCATTACAAAAATTAAGAACCACAGATTAAGCGAGTGCTTTGCTGGGTGTTGCCGAGCGCTAGGAAGGAAAGATCGAGCTCGGTTCTCTGTTCACACAAGTTCAGGTAACAGCACAGGACCTTGGTTACCTCCCCCATCCTCCGGAAAGGTGGCGCGTCCAACAGCCGGAGAAAGGAGAGAACAATTAGTTAAATCTCGAGCAGATGGCGTTTCAGCTCAAACCTTCAGGGCACCTTCCCCACTTAAACATACATTTCAGGCACAATTCATCCGAAATAACAAGAGGGAAAACCACGTCTCTCCTCATTGATTTTTAACTTTCCCGTACCCTCCCTTCTGGAGTAACCCGTCAAATCCTGAGCTCCATGACATCAGGGGCCGTATCCGCTGAGACCAGCACGGAGAATGGCACACAGGAGCCCGGGAAACGTTCGCGGAGCCAGTATTTGAATTTATGGCCCCGAGACGAAGGCCGGCAGGTCTTCCAGATACCCCACAAAGCAACTCCGCATTCACCGGCACGGGCCCCACACGCGACCTCGCCACCCCCGTCCGCGTTCACTCACAACTCCCGGGTCCAGGGGCCGGGCTGCGAGCGACTCGACGGCAGGGCCCGGCGCTGTGGGCCTGGGTCTCCCGCCAACGGACGGCGCCGAGGTCGGAGGGAGTCCCCACCGCCCCGAGACCCGCAGGCCTGCCTAGACCCGCCGCAGAGCGGAGGAAACTACGGTGCCCTTCCGCCCGCCGCCGTCCCGACCACTTCCGGGCCGCGGCCTCGGTACCTCCCACTCCGCCCGCTCCGGGCCACACTCTTTCTTCTCGTACTCCGCTCCGCGCTGCCAGGTCGCAGTCCCCACCGCGGGGCTGGACAACGGGCAAGTTCCACGATGCACCCTGCCAAGCCTAGTGGGTGGCCCCCGAAGCTTGGATGGGGTCGGATTCCCCCAACTTACATCTTCCCGCCGCCACGACCTCCTCCCGCGCTCCACAGCCGCTGAGACCGGCGCCGTTCTGTCGTCATGGTTAGCGAGCGGGAAGGCTCCGCCGTGCGGCGCGAAGCGATGACGCAGAACACCTCAGCCAATGGGTGCGAGGGAGGAGAGAGTTAAAGGGCTAAGGGCTGGTGGCAACCCGCGATGGGGCTGTTATCCAGCCTCCGTTTCCGGAAGAGGCTCCCGGGGATACCCCGGGCTGGCGGCGCGCTTCAAGGGTCAGCAAGTTGGCGTCTTGATGGTACCGGGAGGGCCGCGCCGCCTAGGCAGCCCTCCGGCCAGAGCGGAGGAGTTAACCCTCCTCACGCGGATGTGCCCTGGCCCGCGGCGGACCTGGCGCAGTCCCTTCGCTACGCTCCCTCCCCGGCTGCGTCCACACCGGGGTGACCGGCTGGTGTGGTCGGGATTTGCGCGGGAGCTGCAGTCTCTGGCGGCCGGCCGCGGGGCCTTGCATGGCGGATGCGGCTTAGCGGGCCTGGCTGGTGCGGAGATGGGTCCGTGAGGTTAAAAACCGTGCGTGGTGTGCGGGGTGACCGCGTAGACGCTCTTCTGCGCGGGCGGAACTCGGCCGGGCTGGCACGCCGAGGGGGCAGTGTGGATGAAAGAATGGGAGCAAAGGCAGCGAGGAGACAAGGTGCGGAAGGGAGGCGGCTCCGAGGAGCTGACCCTGCACCTGAGGCTGAGTGGAAGGGCGCGCTGGCAGCGAGAACAGTAGGTGCACAGGAGCTAAGGCTCGTTGGAAGAAGCGAAGGCAGGCCGGTGCGGTGGCTCCGGCCTAGGAAGATGGAGTTTAGCGGTGAGGGAGGACATGGAGGGTGTGTGCAAGGTACAACGCCTCCGGAGGCTTCATCACTTGCACGAACGGCGCAGGCAGGGTACCTACCTGTCGGAGTGAGACCCAGCGCTGAGAGGGCCAGGGCTTTAGGGTTTGTTCGCTGCTATGCATCCAGCTACCCCAGCCTGTGCTTGGCAAACTCCATGACTGTTAGTGGGAGGAAGGATGGTGCACTCGGCCCTAGACGTCCGAACAGGTACGTGTAGCAAGGAAGAGAAGGAAACAGACCAGAGCGCTATTCTGGAGGAAGGAACTGACTTGGAGATGATTTATGGCAGAGTCCTGGATGTAGCTTGGTGACCGGGGTTGGATGGATAGTACTGGGGACAGGGTCTGCAAGTCGTTGTCCTCTGCTCCACGTGGTTTCCCCAGCCTGTGGATAATGACCCCTTTTCTTTTGTCTAGTCCCCGTGGCTCTGTCCAGGAAGTTGTGTGTGCCCCTAACACCTCATCCTGGGCTGAGGGGTGTCTGAAGAGTCTAGGACAAAAGACAGCTTGGGAGGAGCAGCCTGCCTCCTGTGACCCCTTTGCTGAGGCACAAGCACAGTTCCTGGGGGTGGGGTTGGCCAACAGCGTCCGACTGGGCTTGGGTCCCCTCTTTGGATTTAGGCTTGACTAGGGCAGGGCATAGCAAGTTAAATTCTCTGTCTCGCTGTCACATCTGCCTGGCCCTGCGTAGAGGGTAAGTGGAACAGAAGGGCAGCCCTGAGCCTGCAGCAGTGAGGGTTGGCATTAGGGATGGGGCTGCTTTGGTGAAGGTCTGGGAAGAGGCCATGGCAGCCCTTTGGAGCCCCACACTTTTTGGGCCAAGCATCAGTGCATACCTGAAAGGCCTTGAACCCAGAGCCTTTGCCCAGGGTGGGGAGGCAGCTGGCCCGTGAGCCCACCATGGCAAGAAAATGGGGATACCACCAGCTGGCCTGACAGCCCCCTCTTTTTTTTTTGTAATGCTCTAAAGTAATATAATCTGGCATGAATTTTAACACATTTTATATTAAACCTAAAAGGATGATTTATTCACTTAGAAACTTAATTATATTTGTTTCTAAATATTACTGATTTTTGTTATCAAGTATGTTACCAGATGTTAAAACTTTACTAATCTGAACGTCTTGGCTTTTGCCATTTTGAGGATCAACAGAATGTTCAGAAGAAACATAAAATAAGGAGTCCTGGCTCTCCCTCCCAGCTCTCATTGGCACCATACAGAATCCTTGGGGACTGAGGACAGGGAGCTGGGGTGCTCGGAGACCTCAGGAGGTCTTTGGCCCAGGTCAGATGGAGAGGGTTGGGAGGGGCTCCAATGGACAGGGTATTCAGCAGCGGGCCTCTGGCCTGGAGGTCTACACCACAGGCATCCTGCCAGGTCTGGGGAGTGTCCTGAGCCCCCTTCCCTTTCCTCCCAGGGCTGAGGGCCACCTGTTGGCAGTGTAGGATTGCTCCCACTTTGAGAGCATACCTGCAAGGTAGAATGTTCCCTCCGCCTTCGTCCTCTATGGGTCTGGTGGCCTCTGCTGTACCTGCCCTTGGAGGCTAGTGACCCGGGACACCAGAGAGGGTCAGGGATATTGTGCTGGAGTTCACAATGGGCCAGGTGTGTCTCCCTGTAAACCACACCAAGGAAGCACTTGAACCCATTTGTTAACAGTCTCTGCACCGCAGACACGGGTGACTCAGCTGGTTGGAGGAGGGGTTTGGATGAGGTCAGGGAGGTGATAATAGCTCCATGACCTTGGGGGAGGCATTAGAAGAGGTGGGTTGCCAAGGCCGTTTCCTGCCTGTGGTGGTGGATGCCTGCAGCTGCTCAGAGCTCAGGGAGTGGGAGCCCAGGAGGAGGCACTGGTGGTCCTGGGAAGCCCGGCAGGGTCTGAAAGGACCAGCCAGTGAGGGCCCGGGTTTGTGGTGAGGCTCCCCAGCTCCGAATTCATGTCTCCAGAGTTGAGGGGGTGGTCAGGTCCTGAGGCCCCTCACTGGGAGCACCTCTCCCAGGAGGTGCAGGCTGCTCTCTGGAAGGGTGGTAGGGCCAGGGGCTGCTGAGCGGTGGGCTTGCGAGCCTGTACTGGTTTCCATGCCCAGAACCCCATGCCCATCTCTGCCCTAAGGAAGTTGAGGATAGTGACCCCTGAGCTGCTACAGGGTTGGAGTGGGGCCCTGTCAGAGCTAGGTGCAGAGCAGGGGAGCTGGAGGCTGAGCTGTCCCTGTGCCATCCACAGCCAGTCAACTTGGAGCTGCTCTGACTTTGGACACGTCTGTGGGGTGTGGGCTGGGCCCCAGGAGTGGTGCCCAGTCAGCCCCATATATTGAGGAAAGCAGGCAGGGCCCCTCCTCCTCGGGCCTGACTCCCCAGCTTCAGCCCCTTCTCCTGCCTGCTTGAAGCCAGGCCAGTGGGTATGAATGGGCTCCAGGGCTCAGGGCTGCTCTGCCTCCTGGCTCTCTCCTGGGGCCCTGTGGGGGCTGGGGCCTCCACCTTGGTGCCCCTTGTTGGTCAGCCTCCAGGCCCACTGGCCCTGAGCCTTCTCTGATGCAGGGCCCCCTTGGTGTCTGCCCTCCCTTGGGGAAGGGACAGAAGCTTCAGGAGCTTGAACTTTGGGGGCTCAGAGTCTGATCTTAGCTAGGGTTCAGTGTAGGAGTCCTTGCGTCTGGAGGGTGGGATGCTGCATACTCGGCCTGCTGGCCTCAGCTGTGGGGTGGGGACCTGACTTTAGTGTTGGGGTACCTCTCAGAATCCCTATGGGGTTATTTTCTCAATGTAGGAGTGGGTGGGGTTTGGCTTAGGTAGAGCCCTGTCTGTATCCCCAGGAATGTCCCTGTCTGCAGTGAGGCTCTGGCCCCCAGCGCAGCCAGCAGGGGCTGGATGGCACGGGCAGCCCTCACTTTCATGTCTTTGTGGGAGTGGGGAGCCCAGAGGGCCTGGCAGCTTCCTCCAGAAATGCCACATTAGTCCCCAGAGGTGAGGTCAACAGCACTGTCAGGGCTGTCACACAGACGGGGCAGCAGGAATCCACTGCCCTGGCTGGCAGTCTAGGTCCAGGCTAGCCTTTTGAACCCTTCTCCCCTCATCCCCAAGCTCTGGCCCTGTGGGTGTCAGGTCTGACTGCCCTGGGGCCTGGGACATTGCTGCCTGCATGTGTTCAAGGAATGGACCGAGTTCAAGCTACACTGCTGGGGTCCAGGCCAGGCAGGTTCAGCCACCTCTGCACGGGTGCTTGGCTGCCCCCAGACAGCCTGTGATGCCATTGGGCCTGTTTGGCCTCTCCAGGTGCTGGCCTTGGCTGGCTCCACCATCTGCCTTGGTCGGTGTCCTGCTTTGGGAGACCAGGCCCAGGGATCACTGCAACTCAGGTAGCCTTGGCTTGCCGTGGAGTCCTGGATAAAAGATGTGGGATTGGAATTTGCCCAGCAAGAAAACTGTCCAGTTTGCTGAGTCCTTATAATCAAAGAGCACCCTGTGAGGGATGCAGGCAGACACTGGGGTATGGGTATGTCTTTTGGTTTGTGGGGATCCATGGAGTTTCTGGGTGAGAGGGCTTCCCTAGCTCATGTGGACAGCAAAGGCACATGGTGGGGACCATTTCTTGGTGCCAGCCTGCCTACAGCAATTGTGCCAGAGATTGCAATTCGTCTTGGTATCCAGAGATTGCAATTCGTCTTGGTATCCAGGTTCTACCTAGGGTGCCTGCCTGAATTAAAGACTAAATGTCCCAGCTCTCTGCACCTGGTGCAGCCCTGTGCCTATGTGCTGGACATGGACACAGGAGCGTGTGACACCCTGGAGCTGTGCCCTCCATTTCCTCCCCCTGCTTCTTGATGATTCCATCTGGAAGCTTCAGGGGCACCTTGGACCCTGAGACGTGACCTTGAGGGAGGCCTGCACCTGGCTGGAGTAGGCAAATGGAGTCTGGCTGCCTGAGACCTTGACTGTAACAGAAAGCTTGGACTGCCTTCTTTGGACTTTGGACTTGGCGAAGAAATAAACTGTCCGATGTGGGGTTTTCTGACATGCGATGTGGGGTTTTCTGACATGCGCAGCAAGCCTGATGCAGTCTTCACTCTGCTGAAACTTCTGTGGTCAGGTCGGGTCCCCTCGACCTATGACCTGCCTGGAAGCCCTTTGCCACCTCAAGGGGCTTGGCCTTGGCCCTGCCCTGCAGCTGGGCTCCCACTCCCTGGGTGGCAGCCCTCCTGGTCAGAGCCTAAGTGCTGAGTGCGGCTGTCAGCTAAGGACAGTCCCCTCGCCCACTCTGTTTCAGTGGTGCCACACTGTTGGACAAGGCAGGAGTTTTCCCCAGGCCCTGCTCTCAGCCCTGATCTGGGTGTCTGCCCACTGACTCCTGTCCAGGCCACACAGGGCAGGGATGGCACCACCTGTCTCCCGGATCTTCTGACTCCTACAGGGGGCAGGACAGGAGTCAAGTCCCCGTGCACCTCCCAGATGCACCAGCTGTGTGGTACCAGCATCTCTAGGGCCCCTCTGGGCCTGAGGATCAGGAATGGGGCTGGGAGTGGAGCGGGCGCACTGCCTTGATGGGGGGCCCATGCTCCTTCCTCCCACCTCCCTGGGCTTAGAGCTGCCACAGCTGGAACCAAGCCTGTCGCGGGTGGGGAGGTGGGTTCTGAGGCCTCACTCCTGGGCTTGCAGCGACCCCACAGATGACATGGGGACACCATGTGGACTACCTTTCTGGGGCTCCTGCACTTACTTGCCCAAGCTCTGTGCTTGGGTGCAGCTGCAAGCTCCTGCAGACACCCCTGGGTGCCTGGGCCTCTGGTCCCCAGTGCCACAGCCTCACCACAGCTGCTGGGTCTTTTTCTGAGAAGGATCTCGGCCTGACAGTCCCCACTTTATTCCTGCCAGTCTCTGCACTCATCTTCCCACTTGGCCGTCAGTGAGCCACCTCTCCCTGGACTGACACAGTCCTTCTGCACGTGCTCCTCCTAGGTGCTGTTCCTTCAGTCCTGAGCGCCTCTCCTCACACTCAGTTTCTGTGGCACTGAAGGAGAAAAATGACAGATTTCTAAACCTCCAATGTGGGCTTCAAAACAAGCCCAGGGCGCCTTGTTGTCGGGCTGTTGGGTGTGGGCATATGCCTGGGCATGCTGGCCTCTGCCTACCTCCTGGGACCCGGAAAAATGAGCCACGGCTGCCCCTGAAGCTAAGGTGCAGGCCCACCTCTCAGGTGTTTTCCGTAGGGCAACGTTTAGGATCACAATCACCCCTAAGTTCATTTTTTACAGCAAGGAACTAAATGATGATAGTCCTAAGAATTTTAAAGGGAATAAACGAGCTATTGGAAACTACTTGCAGCATTCATAAACTCTGAGAGACTGATAAAAATGCAAATTTGAAACTGTCCCAGATGAAAACAAGTCTTTTCCAAAACTGAATTCTAAGGAAATGTAAAACAGATTCAAATCATGGATATTTAGAAAAAGGTAAAAAAAAGTGCATTTAAAAAAAGGGAGCAGATACTGAATTAGAATATTCTGGAAGATGTAAGTGGTCCTGGAGGCAAAGGCCTCCTGCACACCCAGGTCTGCACCCTCCTACACCCACCCTACAATGCTCTTCTCTTGCTGTGTTTATCTGACCTGTTTTTGCGCTTGCACTTTGGGCTTATTCCTTCACCTTCTGGCAGTGAGTTTTCTATGTTTACTACATACCAGGAAAAACTACCTCTTGCTCTTGTCTGTCTGAAACTTGGTATATGAGGCTTGTGTTAGGACTGTGAGTGGGTGAGTGAGCCCTAGGACCCCCACTGTGTGTGTGACTCAGACCGTGGTCATGTTCCCTCCCAGCCTTTATTTTCTGGACAGAATCACCATGTGTTAGGTGCATCCTCCCCTCATGGCCACTCGGTCCCATCGTGGTCCCCAACTGGCCTTCCACTGGTGGCATCTTCAGAGGCCAGTGTCAGGACCAAAGGACCGCCTTTGCTTCTTGTGCTGGCTGACACTGGCCGACGCTGGTGGGGTGAGGCCAGGCATAGGGTCTGCTCAGTTAATGTCCACTGAGGAGCAGGGACCCCCAGGATGCCCCCAGCTGTACTGAAAGCCAAGACCTCGAGGCCGAAACAGGGCTGGCATCTCCCTCGTGGATGGTGACTGGTGACCTGTTCATTCTGGGCAGCTGCCCCCTGTTCTGGGTTCCTGTTTCACCCCCAAAGGAGCTCTGTGCCATGTGCAAATGTGGAGAGGTCACTGGGGAATCTCTTCATGAGCGGTGAGGGAAATTTAATCCCCGAGTCAGCTGAGGTCCCTTTCTGGGTGGCTTTCTGCCCAGAGACCCCCACAAGGCATGCCCACACGGACTGCTGGACCCGCTCTTGGGCTGGCATCTTGAGTTCTGGAGACCGGGCTTCGGCATCGGCCTTAGATGTGGATGTCTGCATGCTGATCCCCAGTGTGAGGGTGCTGACGGGCCCAGTCCGTACGAGGCCTTAGTTCATATCCATCACAGGAAACAGTGATTAAGAGTAAAGGTGCTGGACAAGCTGGGCTCAGAGGAAGAAGGTGCCTGCCTGAGTGCCCATTCCCCCTGCCCCTGCCCAGCTCCTCAGGGCCCCTCACCCTCCGTGGGTGGCTGCAGGTGGGCAAAGCCCAGGAACACTTGCTCCAACGAGATCTGGCTCACGGAGTAGTCGTCCACCCCGTACTTCTCCTTGGCCTTCTCCAGAACACCAAACACCTTTTTGGAAGCAGAAAAGCTGCTGATAACAAGCCTGGGGCCTGGCTCCTCAGCTAGTGTGGGACTCCTCTGGCCATAATGGGTGGGAAAGCCCCCAAAGATCCTACTCCTGCCCCAGCCGGACTTGCCAGGGGAGGAGGAGGGCCACACAGGGCGAGTCTCCTGGCTTCCCAGTTCAGAGTATGACCTCGGGCAAACTGTTCCCTTCTGGGCTGGTTTCCCTTTTTATACCCAATTCTTTCCAACTCAGATCAACCTCCAAACCTAGCAGATAACTAGAGTGAGTGTTAAGAGTGGAAACTGCAGAGATTCCTCTAAAGGAGCCTGGAATCACCAAAGAAGGGGTGGCCACCATGGGGACCTCCGCCTGCCCCACCTGAGGCCCAGAGCGGCCTGGGGCTCACCTTCGCCCAGCTGAGGTCATCGCCAGGCAGGTGGTAATGGACCATCCCCTGGTGCTCATCTTCCAGAACGCTGCCTGCACAAAGGAGAGACCGGATCCCCTTGAGGATCAGCTGCAGGGCCAGGGCTGGGCACCTGGGCCCCACAGAATCACAGCCCTCGTTCCAGGGTTCAGGCACAGTCGCCCCTGCGCACACCTGGGAAGGTCAGGTCCACGAAGGCCTTGAAGTCCTCCAGCGCCTCCTGCTGCCCGTCGCTCCGGACCTTGGCCCGCAGGGAGTAGCCACTCCCAAACTTGCTCTTGAGGTGTTGTGGGCTGCCCAGGCACTTGAACTGACCCTGCACCATGATGGCCAGCCGGGTGCACAAGGCCTCACACTCCTCCATGCTGCGGAGAGGGGTGGAGGCCTGACCCAGGGCTGGGGGCTGCCAACGCCTGCCCACAGCAAGGGCTTGTGCAGATGGGACGTGTCGACGCCCAGACGAGGCTATTCCTGATTCCCGTACTCAGAGTGTGGCAACATGACAGAGTCTCGGGACTCCTCACAGACTGAACCAGTTGGTGAAAGGTCTTCTGTCCACCCGGCCCCTCCCATCCCGGGCCGGCTTCTCCACAGACCCACAGGGACCCCGGCTCTACCTATGGGAGGTGATGACGATGGCCTTGCCAGACTCGCGGGCCCTGGCTATGGTGTCCCAGAGCAGGCGCCGGGCCACAGGGTCCATGCCGGTGGATGGCTCATCCAGGAAGATGACCGCAGGCTCTCCAAGCAGGGCAATGCCAGTGCTCAGCTTCCGCTTGTTGCCACCACTGGGGGCAGAGAGGTTGTGGAGTGGAGCAAGGCTGATAATTAGCATGGGCTCCCTGGGTCCCAGCACAAGACCAGGCCCAGTGACGGTACAGCAGCAAGAGGAGGAGGAGGTAAGCAAGGCTGGAAGGCCCACCATGAAGGCCCCAGAGAAAGCTGTGCCCAGGGGCTTGGTCCATGCCCCCACGTAGAGCAGTAACACCCTCTGTCTGCACCTAGGAGCGCATGACAGAGGCCCTGACATCACCTGTGCTGGCTTTGCCTCCAAGGAGTGGGAACTGGTAGGGCAACCCCTCTCACCTGGCTCTGCTGGTCATGCTACCAAATCTGTTCTATCCTGGAATGATGGGTGGGGACTCTGGCCCTTAACCTGTGCGGCTGCTCCAGCTCTACAGCAGGGAAGACCCTGAGGTCACTGAGTCATGGGGCAGGAGAGCAGCTGGGGAGAAGGCGCACCTGTACGTCCTGACCAGCTTGTTGGCGTGTGGCTCCAGGAGCAGGCCCCGAAGTGTGTTCTCCACGCAGGCACTGATATGTCGCTCAGGGATGCCCCGGAGCCGGGCATACATGACAAGTGTCTCCCGGCCTGTCATGTGGTCCAGTAGGGCATCAAACTGAGGGCAGTAGCCGATCTGCTGGCGCACCTGGGGTTGGAAGAGCCATGCGGAGTGGGTCAGAGAGAAGCTTGTCCAGATTTCTCCAGGAGATCTGTCTGGGGGCTCAAGAGGACCAAGCAGTGCTTTGTTGGGGTTGCAGGGGAGGGGCTTGGCAGCTCAGGGTGGCACAGGCACCTGCAGCACCCAGTGAGGGCTCAGACATGGGCCAGAGGCAGTGGCCAGGGCTATGCTGGTGCAAGGGCATGTTGTCATACAGCAGTTACTACTGTGCAGGCATCTGCTGTGTCACGCACTCACCAGACCTGTACAAACATCTAATGTGTGCAAGAACTTTCTTTCTTTTCCCCAAATAAAGGATGTTTGCTGGCAACATCTCTGGGGTGGGGCTTTGCCTGTTCAGAGGCCCGGCAGCTGGTCTCTGATTGAGTGACCACACCCAGCAGAGCTTCAACAGCATGGCCTTCAACAGCAGGTGAGGGACAGTGGCAGGGATCAGTGGCTTCCAGAGATGGGGTCGTTTTCCTTTACCCTCTTTGGGGTTCTTGGGCTTGTGGAATCTGCTTAATCTAATTTTGGGAAAATTTTAGTATTACCACGTGAGTTATCATCTTTCCCCCATTCTCTTTTCCTGCTAATACTCAGATTAAATCTACTCTTTTCCTTCATTTCCTGGATCACATTTATAGTTTTCTTTCTCTTGCATGTGTTTTCAGTCTTTATTTCTTTTAACACGATGGGCAACTGTTTTATAATCAGGGTCTGATGACTCAAATCTAAAGTCGTGGGCTTTGTGTCTGCAGGTTCTGCCTCCTTTGTTTTTGAGGGTGCACGGCTCACAGGCCTCCAAAGACTATCTTGGGGGGCTCTTCGAAGTCTAGGATGAAGGCCGTCCAGTGAGGGTGTGTGCTGTCCCATGCAGGTGCAGTGACAATGAGCCTCTGATGCCAGTTCAGGAGACATGGCCAGTCCCAGGCCCCATCTCTTCTCCATGACTTTCCCTGCTACGGGGCACATGATGGACTTTCCTGCAATCCCCAGGGGTAGGTTCACCTTGCCCAGGAGGTTTGGCCCCACTCCTTGCCTTATCTTGCTGTCCACGAACCGAGCCAGGGATGAGCCCGGCCCTGCTGCAGATTGCCCCCTCTTGCTGCCCCCCTGGCTGCACGCACCTTCCCGACATCAGAGCTGATGCTGTGGCCCCCCACAAAGGCATCCCCAGTGGTTATGCTCTCCTCCCCTGTTAGCATCTTGAAAGTTGTGGTTTTCCCAGCCCCGTTGAAACCCAGCAGGCCGAAGCACTCCCCCTTCTGGACCGCAAGGCAGATCTTGTCCACGGCGAGCAGGGGTGCCTGCTGCTCATATACCTGGAGTGCCGGGAGAAATGGCAGCAATGGGGAGGCTGGAGGCAGTGGGGCAGACCTGGCACAGCGGGCGGAGGCCTGTCCTACCTTGGAGAGCTCCTTGACAACTAGAGGTGGCACTGGCAGCGAGTCCGGGCTGGCAGCCAGGATTCGGTTTCTCTCGTCTGCCACGTCCTGGTCCTCCGGGAGAGCTGGGGTCCGGGTGTACGCCTCCATCTAATTGTCCCAGAAGAGGACCACACAGGTGAGTTCCAGCCCAAGGGGAGCTTTTCCGCGAGAGAAAGGCTGAGGGTCCCCGAGACTGCTCACACCAGCTCAGTGCCCTGTGCACTGATCCAGACCCTGCACATGCAGAGCTGGTGGCCTTCAGGGCTGACACTGGCATTGAGGAGACACAGGCTACCTGAGGACCACAGACAGTGCTGGACTCGTGGAGAAGCTACAGAACTCCTCAGGGAGAAAGTCATGTTTTAGAGAAGGCAACTGGCCCAGGTTAATCTGTCCATCTGGTGTGGCCTCTGGCTTGTGGGACAGGATGTGTGTGAGGAACGTGAGGGTGCCTGGTCCCCATGGCCGCAGCTGAGGCTGAGACTAGGCCCCAACCCTGCCCACAGATTCAGTGTCTCGGGACGGGCGAGCCCTGGTGATGGTGGGGAGCACAGCCCCTCCCAGGCTGAGGGCTGCCAAGGACACATGCCCTGGCCTTGCCTGGCAGCCCGAGGGGGGTGGAGGCGTGTCCTGAGACCCACTCACCAGCGCCCGCTGCCTCCGGGAGGCACAGATGCAAGTCTTCAGCCTCTGGGGCAGTTCGGTCTCCATGAGGAAGAGCACAGCGAGATAGGCAAGTCCCGAGGTGGCCATGGAGGCCACGAACCTGCCAACCCCTGGGGCCTCCCATGCGTAGAAGTTGTCCTGGTACCGGATGTCTGTGAGGGTGAGGAGAGTGTGCTGTGCCCCATGCCTCTCACCTCCCCAGGAGCACGGCTCAGCCCTGCCCTCAGGTCCCTCAACACAGGCCTTGAAGGTGCAGGGACCATTTGTCCTCCCAGAGAGCACCCCCCCTGCATTTGTCACCCCACCCCACACACCCTAAGCACTTCTGTGGTTTGAGGTGGCCTCACCTCGGATGGGGGGACCTATAGCGAGAGACCAAGTCACACCCTTGCTCGCCCACACACACCCTCCTGCAGGCGTGGCACTGAGATGTGACAGAGATAGGGCACAGGGATCAGGGTCTAGCGAGGGGACAGGCACACAGCCAGGTATGCGGCCAGGCACTCCAGGGTTGGTCCTGCAGAACAGGAAGTGGCCAGAGCACAGATGGAGCCTGCTCAGGACACCCGCGACTCTCAGAGGGGCAGCTGAGTGGAGCACCATGCAGGCCCAGGAGGGTGTATGGCAGGCTGAATGGTGGCCCCCCAGGAGGCATCCATGTCTTAACTCCAGAGACCCAGGGGCGACCTTACTGGGACATAAGGCCTCTGCAAGTGTGATTAGTCAGGGGTCTCAGGGTAAGATCCTAGACTTAGGATGGGTCCTGAACCCAGTGACAAACGTCCTTGCAATGGAAAGGCAGAGGCCACTGTGAGAAAGAGACTCACGGAGGAGAAGGCTGCAAAACAGCAGAAGGACGGGGGTAGGTCAGGCAGCAGGGTGGGCTTTCTGAGTTCTGGGCCTCCCCGAGGGGCCTCCGCAGGCAGGGGCCCGGGGCCGGCACTCACTGTATTCGCTGCAGTAGTGGGCCGCGACCTCGGACGACCTGCAGTACCTCCGTGTCTCGTAGTTCTCGTAGAAGCTGCTGACCGCCATCCCCAGACAGTGGCTGGGCAGCACCAGGAACACATGGTCCAGGGTTCTGGAAAGTTCTTCCAACTTCACCGCTGTGGGGAGAGAGCACAGGCCAGTCTCGCCCCCTGACAGGTCCAATCAGGGAGGGCGGGTTCCCAGCACTCCTTCCCTGGGGCAGCCCCCCAGCTCTGAGAAACTGTTTCTGAGGTGCTGCTGGTGATCAGGGCCATCGTGGGCAGAGGGCCGAGCCTGGCCTGGTGCCTGTCAGTGCCTCCTATCCTCTGGATGGAGCGGCTCTGTGGGTGCCCGGGGGGCAGGGTGCCTGGGGGGCGGTCTCCAGGCTCCCACCTGGGATGCGCATGATGGTGACCACGAGGAAGGTGGCGATGCCCAACAGGATGTTGAATATGGTCAGCCTTGTGTAGGCAGTGGCCGCCCCCGAGAAAAGGAAGCTCATGAGATACATGAGGGGGATGATGGCCCAGCCATAGACCATCAGCAGCAGCAGAGCGTCAGCCACGTGGCCGTCCCGTGTGAAGGCGTGCACGTTGAAGGCTTTGAACACCACCTGCAGCGGCACAGGACTGGGCAGCGTGGCAGGCCTGCTGGGCAGTGCAACCAATCCAGGCCCCCACCCATGGCAGTGGCCCCTTCCACTGCCCCCTGCCCCTAGTGGCTTTCATGTCCTATGAGGTTCCCCCTTCCCCCATTCCCGATGGCACTGTCACCAGAGCACCCCACCCCAGGACCCTGCCTACCATGGGTGGGCAGAGGTAGAGGGGCATGGAGTCAGAGGAATGGGCTGTAGGGCATCCCACCATCCTGGAACCAGGGCGGAGCTGCAGCATGGACCTCGGGCTGGTCTGTGCAGGGCCCCAAGGCAAGCCCCCTGGACATGCAGGGGGAGGGTCCCAGCCCCACGCAGCCCTCACCAGCAGCAGCAGAGTGGGGATGAGAAAGGACACGAGGTCCCACAGCAGAGCAGAGAGCCAGAAAGTAGCCACGCGGACTCCGCTCACGAACTGCATGTGCTTGGCCTGAATGCCCCTCTCGCTGACCGCCAGGGTGGAGAACGTGCTGGCCAAGAACGCCATGGCGAAAAGCAAGTTGAGGGCAATGTCGAAACCCTTCCGGCCCCTGTAGGAATGGGGGGGACAGCAGGTCAGGGACAGAGCACAGTGTCTGGGAGCAGAGGACATTCACCACTGTGGGGGGAGAGCACAGGCCAGTCTCGCCCTCTGGGATCAGAGGACATTACTCTCTAGAGCATGTCATGCAGCAACCCAGCTGCTAAATGGGCTTAAGAGGGAATGCGCCAGGAAATCCCCACCCACGAGAACAGACCTCTGCACTTCCTGCCTCAGGGATGGCACTGCTACTCCTCCAGTCACCCTAAGTCTTTCCCCTGTGCCACCCACTCCCCATAAGCAATCAGGTGACAGTGGCCTAGACCTGCCTTCCGCCAACCCTGAGGACCCCCTGCCTGGCTCCGCTCTGCTGCCCTGGCTGACCCCATGCCAGTGGGAGCCTGCAGGCTACAGCACCCCCACCTCTGCCCAGCACATTCCACAGCCTACGTGGAGCTGGCACCAGCACTTTCTGGAAACCAGCACCAATGGCCTTACTCTGTTGCTTAAAACACCCCATTTCAACAGGAGTGCTGGGCAACTGGGTATTTGGCCAAGAAAAGAAATGAAGTCCTGTAAAGTGGGGGAGCCTCAAAAACAAAGAAGGCAAGTCCCGAGAAGTCCGTACAGGAGTCACCTGAGTCCATTTATATGAACTGCTTGCTAAAGGCAGTGGGGAGTGCCTGCCATGGCTTGCAACAGGCAGCGGCTTTTGGGGTAGAGAAGGGAGGTGACAGAGGCAGAGGAAGATGTCCTAAGGCCCAGGGCCAGTCTAGAATGTAAGGTGGAGATGAAACCACCCCTGTTAATTAGCTGCTCTGAAGTAGAGCGATGGTTCTGAGATCAACTGATTTTTTTCGGCTTTCTCTGGACCGTGCCCAGTTCTTGGGGCTCAGAACAGGCATGAAGGGGAGGCCAGGGCAAGGGATGGCAATGACAAGGCTGAGAGACACCCAGCGGGACCACTGCCAGAGGCACCTGACTCAGCTGTGTCCTACGGTCCTCGCTCACACAGCGGGGCTGTGCGTGGCATGAGTGTGCGTGGGCGCCCCTGGGAGCAGCGGCCTGCAGGAGCCAGTGCGAACTTGAGAAGAAGGCAGGCTGCCCCTGCCCCCATCCTCAGGGTCCCTGTGGGGACCGCAGTATGTGTAAGATGGGGTCTCAGCAGCTGATCTGCTCTCTAAGCAAAGGATGACAGGGAGGCTGAGGGGGATGTGGGGCAGTGGTTCCGTGGCCAAGAACCAGAGGCTTCCCCAGGGCAGAATATCCACCTATGTGACCTTGGTGGCCTGTGACAGGGCCTAAAGTGGCCAGTCCTGATGAGAGGTCCCAGCGGGCAGGTGGGGGCAGGTCCTGACCTGATGGGGTCAGGTCCTGGGCGGGAGTAGGGGTGGGGGAAGAGCCCATACTCATTGAACTGGTCCTTGGCGGCCTGCAGTGTGCTCCGGGGCTGGGGGAAATTGGAGACTGTGATGGAGGCCCGAGGGCCACACAGAAGCTTGAACAGAAGGTTGTCCACGGTGGTCAGCGCAGTGGCTGGGGAGTGGTATGCCTGGTTGTTGAACAGAGCAGTGACGACTGTCCGCTCGCCGACGTCTCTGAAGGTCGCTGCCACCAGGCACCGTTCATTAAAGCCGCCGCCTTCCACCGAGGCCCTGAAAATCAGGAACTCCTCCAAGTCACCTGGGGGCGAGGACAGGGTCAGCAGTGTGAACGGCCAGCCCCCGTCCTGCACCTGGGAGCTCTGCAGGCCTACAGGAACCATAGAGAGGGCACATCGTCTGCCCTCTGTGCACCTGCTCAGGGCCGCAACCCATGCAGCACAGTCATGGTGACAAGGAGAGGCTGGCTCAGGAGAAGGGCTGGCTCTAGAAGGTAGGGCTGTGGAACATGTGGGTGGCCTGTGGGCAACACCCGAGGGGCCAGTAGGTGCACAGAGGGACCACAGTGGGTGTGGACTGGCCCTTAGGACACGGGATGAGCTGAGGGCTACCTCCAAGGGCTTTTACAGAGGATTCTCCTTCCTACCTTTCTGTTTTTCTAATTTTTATAGAATAAGCACCCTCTTAAGGTAACAAAACACTCTTAAGGTAACTAGAAAAACTTTCTCGTTTCTAGAAAGAGTAGCCTGAGGGTGAGAAACTCTGCTCTAGTCACCTGGATTTGGGTCCTAAATTCTCTGGGTATCCAGGTTCTGGGCAGCCTGGACGCCACCCTCAGGAAAGGACAGAATCCCCAATCCTGCCTGGACATGCTGCATCTCATTTGCTCCATGGCTGTGGTGTGTAGAGAATGAGGTTTCTGGTGAGGGGCGTTGGGGTGCCCCCCGCCTCGCCAGGGGCCTTAGGCACATTAAGATGAGTCCCACTAGGTCACATGTGCATGGGGCCAGCCATCAGCTGGCCACGGGGCTGCACAGTGCCAGAACCCTGCACACGGCCTCACTACTCTGGCCTCTCACTCGCCTGTAAAGTGGGAACAGTTGAGACACCCATGGGCAGGACCCAAGGGCCATTGGGGGCTGGGACATGTCAGCAAGTCCTGATACTGTCACAAAGGCTTCCATCAAGGCCCGCTGTGGTTCTTGCCACAAGGGAAAGGGGCATCCTTAGCAGCGTACTGAGACCACCAGGGAGGCAGTCAGAGATGGGTCCCAAACACAACAGGGAGTGGGCACTGTGGCCTGGCAGATGGACTCGGGCTGGGGCACTGAGCCAGCCGCCCGAATCCCCAGAGCCACTGTGCACCATGAGAGCCCCCCAGCCTTTGGGCCAGGCTGGGCGACAGTCAGCAAATGAGGCAGCAGGAACAGAGTGACAAACCACAGTGCCCGCTGTCTCAGCAAGGCTGACTGGGTCACCAGGGCCAGCAGGGCTGAGCCGGGACCCCAAGCAGCAGGTGCACTGGCTGGGCACGTTCCCTCCTCTGTGGGGCCAGCCCGTCCCCAGATGCAGGTGTGAGCCGCTCCTCCTACAGGACAGACTCCTGCCCAGGCTCCGTGATGGCTGTGTCCACTGAGTCACACAGCTACCAGCAGGAAGGGGCCCAGGAAACCAGAAACCCTTCAAGCACAGACCCTGAGCCGGAGCACCATGTGCACTCTGAGCCCAGGGCCATGTCCAGCAGCCACTGTCAGGGGCATGGCTTAGTTTTGCTTCTGGGCTGTTGAAGGAGAACACCACAGCACTGTGACCAGCCCAGCAAACAGAGCAAAAGGTCGCCACAGCCTTGTGGGTAGTCTGTGGATGGTCCCAAAGTTGCCTTCAGGAAAAGGCTGTTGGGATAAAGCTCAGCCCTAGAGATGGTGCCCTGTGTCTTCCTCTGACCTGTGTTAACGTTTTCTTCCCCAGCAGCTCTGGAGGCATTTTTGGTTATCATGATGGGGCAGGAACGCAGGTGACCATGCCACGGATGCTGCTAAACATCTCATAGTGTGACAGCAAAGGACGAACCACCCGGTGTCTGCAGCACCGAGGCCGAGAAGCCAGAGCTGAGAATCCCCAGGGACACCCCTTACCCAGCACCTCGCGTGGCTCCTGGCCCTCGGCCTGCAGCATGTCCTTCCAGTGCTCTGCGAGCTGCTGGCCCAGCCGAGAGGTGCCGGGAACTGCAAAGGGCACCACCGTTCTGCCGTACTGGTCCAGGGTCAGCTTCAGAATGGGGTCGTCCAGGATCTCGGAGGAGTAGTTGATGGCCAGGAGCGCCAGGGTGATGCATGTCAGAGGCACCAGGACCTGGGCCGCTACCAGCTTCCACTCCCGCCAGCTATATGCAGCCTTCTTCAGGAGCATGGCCCAGAACTGCTGGCAGTGGAGGGCGAGCTGTGGCAGAGGGGACAAGGTGACACGGCTGCCACCAGGAGCTAGCATCTGACCCGCCCACCAGCAGGTGTGGGCCCACAGGAGCCTGAAGGCCCTTGGCTGACTTTGTGTCTCACCCTGGATACCCGTGTATTGTCCCTGCAGGTTCTGACATGGGCCTAGGGGATCTCCCAACAGCTGTGGAGGCAGGACTTCAGGGGCCCAGCTGTGATCCCATAGTGGCTCAGGCCTCTGCCTTCCCACTGCGCCTGGTGGGAGACCTGGCTGTGCTCACTCAGGGAAGATGGACCAGCCTCCCTGCTGCCTGTGTCCTCAACCCTGCCCTTCACCATCCTGCAGGTGTTGGGGGTGCTGGGGTCAGATCCCAGTACCTGAGACACACTGGCCTTCCGACCTTAGCCTCAGGTTCCTGTTTGTGATGCGGGAGCAGGGCAGCTCTCTACCACCCTGTCTTCCCGCATGGCAGGCCCTCCCGAAGAGAGCGCTGTTAGCATTAGGAGAGGAGCAGACATCACCTCATTCGCCAGTGGCCAAGTTAGAGTGCACACAGAGGTGACAATCACTCCACTGAAATGCTGGTTGCCCCTCTCCCTGCCAGCCACGGGAGCGTGAGCCGTCATCAACCCTGTTCCTGGGCACCGGCCCTCCTGAAGCCCATGTCTGCCCTCGTGGCCCCTCACATGTGGACAGGGTTCCAAGCCTCCCGCACTGGGGCTGCATGCTCACCCCGGAGTTGAGCTTGATGTTGGCGCACTCCTCCTCGATGAGGGCGCCTGCGCCCGCGGTCGGGTCCATCATCCCGCACAGGTGGCTATCCACTGCCCAGTCGCTCGCCCGCCTCTCGTGCTGGTACTGCAGGGCAGGGAGCTGGATGGCCTGGATGTCCATGCTGGTGTCTACCAGCTTACCAACCCTGCAGGAGGACACACAAGGCCTGGTCACAGCTCAGCTCCCCGCACAAGGAGCAAGGCTATGGTCCCCAAGAGGAGATGCGGTGGGGGGATGAGGGCGGCCGTCAGAGGCCCTGCAAGAGGACCTGGGTCTGTGGGCTCCGGCGCTCATTCATGCTTCGCTCACTCATTCATCTGCACGTACCTCCAGAACATGAGCTGCTGAGGCCAACCAATGTCCAGGAGAGAGAAACTAGATGGGCTGTGCCCACAGCGACCCCACTTTCACGGGGAGATGGACCCAAGTCAGCATTATAACCAGGCCCTCCAGAGGGCATGGCAGAAGCACTGGGAGGCTCATGGCACCAGCGTGGGTGGGCTGGGGCGCTGCCTGCAGAGCTGAGACTGGGAGGGGCGGCCGGGAGTGAGCGTGACAGGGACAGATGTGTCAGGGAGGGCAGGAGGCGAGGCCGGCAGGTGCAGGAACCCAGTGCGGGGCTCCGTGGGCCGCCGGCGTCACGTGGCAGCGTTTACATTCTCTCCCTCTGTTGCCTCCTCTAGGTCCTGGGATCCTCAAGGTAACCCACCTATCTCACCTCTATTTTACTACATCTGCCACGTGAGTGTTCAAGAAACGTCTGACAGACAGATCAATCGTCTCGCCCTGCAGTCCTGAGGGTCAGAAGGCTAAGCCTTGCATCTTCGGTATGGACTGGGGTGTGCCCTAGGATCAGTGCCCTCCCGGGGCCGCGGGGAAGCGCACGCCCAGCCTGGGCCCTCATTCGGTGGCCCAAGCACAGCTGCTCTGCTCTCTGGATTGCCGCACCCGTCAGGGACCTCACTGAGCTTGTGTAAGACTTAGGAATGCTCGTGATTCGAACTCAGGGCTCCGACAGCTGGCCCACTGCCCCGCTCCACCCAGGGCCGTGCATCCAGGGGGACTGCCGCTACCATCGTGCTTTAAGGAAACCATCCACATTGTGGGGTCCTGGACCCATGCAGACGCAGCTTTACTGACCTAAGGAACACCTCCTCCATGGTGGTGACGGAGGCACCGAAGCTGGCGATACCCAGTGCCTTCTGCTGCTTCTCCAGCTTACTGAAGAGACTTTCAAACCTAAAAAAAGACCCCACGTGAGGAGGCACTTCTCCACGACCTCCTAAGAAACTTGTTTCTAAATCACCATTTCTGTGCAGTGTGGCAGAGGGAGCAAAGGAAGGGGAGCTCCTTGAAAAGCCAAAAAGTTGGGTTTTGTTCCCCCGACTTTGTTTCCCCTGTGACATCCTGTGAGTGCTTTGACCTGTAGGGCTGTCTTTGATAGTGTACACCTACATGAACTCACACAACAAACCCAGAGAAACTGGTGTATACTCATTCGATTGCAGGGTAAAGAACTACTTTCTAAGAAGAAATCAAAAGGGAAACGGGCCCCATTTCGATGTAAAATTTCTACGTGGAGAAAAATCCCACAAAATTAGGCAGCAACAAATTGGAGAAAGTTCCAACACCAATGGTCGATGATAGCATTCACGACACCGCCCGAGAAGTGAGCGAGAGGCACGGACTTTCGATGCCCGGCGGCAGCCATGGGTGAAGGCCAGCAAGGGCTGGGGACGTACACACTCCAGCAGGGATAAAGGCCAGTGAAGCAGGTGGGCGCCATTTCCACCCATTAGAAGCACAAATGTTTTTAAAGAATTGTACTCAAAGCTGGCTACCATGGAATAAAACAGACACACTCCTGTTGCAGATTAGGAAGTCAGACACACCACCTTTCTAGATAGCAACTTGGTAGCATTTGCCTCCATATTGGGAATCCATCCTAAGTGGTCCCTGAAGATCTGGATAGAGTTTTCTAGAAGGATGTTCGTTAGCATGTTTTTTGGGGAAAAGTATGAATGTATGAGAAAGGGACAGATGTTAAATAAATTATGGCATATCTGAGTCAAGCAATAGTATGAAGTTACTAAAACCATATTACTTACTTGGGTTTGTAGCCAGATGAAATGTACTTTTCAAATTTACACCCCAAAGTTTCTAAGTGTTGATCAAGAGTTTAGTTTTTACCTCCCCACACTGGTAGTCTGCTCTGTTTAGGAGGCATGCATTCATGACTCAAATTCTGGGACCATGGAGATAAAAAAATTGACAATTCCACAGATAATTCTGAGTAGGCTGCTGTGCATGTCTAACCTAGTGTTAGGAGGGAACCAAGTGTGGATGGTAGCAATGCAGTGAGCACCCCCATGGTAAGTCAGACGTTTCTCCTTCTCAGGTATGAGCCTGGGCACCCGGGGACCGGCAGGCAGATTTGCTAGGCACTGACCACCAGAGGCCCCGGAGCTGAGGGGTGCCCGCCAGCCAAGCTTGAAGGCGCAGGGTGGGAAACCCCAACCATGGGGCTGCCTTCTCAGATCTGACCCGTGCAGCCCCCTGGACACACACCTGTGCGTGCTCTCCTTGGGCAGAATGAATGACAGCTCCGCTCCAGCACTGCTTTCCAGGGTGGCATTGGGGACGTGGTGCTGGACCAGCCGGGAGATGCCCTCGGGGCTGCAGTGAGGCTCCTTCACCAGGGTCATGTGGTAGCCTGCACCTGCATGCCACAGAGCCCAGGTGACCTGTCTCCCACAGGTCCTGGCTGACCCAGGGTCCTTGGGGCACCACCTGGCAGGCTCACAGGAAAGGGACTGAGTGCCAGGCTACTGGACCAGATGATGAGCGTCGGAGCCCCTCTGTGCTGTCCTGACGGTCCCCCTGCACCCGCTCCCTAGCTGGGAAGACACACGCTGGAGGCCTGTGCTACTGAGCGTGACAAGGAGGAAAGCCTGGTGGGACTTCAGGCTGTGAGTCTCTGAGGCTGTGGCCAAAACTGTCCCCAGGACCTGTTTTCTCTGCTTTCTCAATGATAGACCCTAGGACAAAGGCCCCCCGCCCCAGCCTCCTACAGCTTGGTGGTGAGCACATCAGGCCGCCAGCTGCTTGGCAGGACTGTGTGCCGGCCAGGGGAAGCCGTGGAAGCCAGGCATGTGGCTCCCAGGGTACCTGAGGGGAGGGCCACTCATGTCTGCCTTTGCCCCTTCCCGCTGGTGGAGAGAAGATGGGCCACGAGCACCCCTCATGCCAGGAAGCCATGCTCATGCAGCACCAAGGGCTCTGACTCCACGGGCCACTTGCTCCACTGCAAGTGTGTGCTGCTGAGCACAGCCTCTCCAAGGGCACCGCTGCTCTCAGTAGCCCTCGGCTCAACCGCTACCTGCTGACCGTGGCTGGACACTGTCCCAGCCAGATCAAGATTACATGCTCCATCCCACCACTCCCTTGTCATCACAGCCCCTCTTCCAGGGGCCGTGGGTCTCCATCCAGAGGCGGCAGACAGGAGGTCTAGAGAAGGCCCCCTGCCCAACCTCAGGGGCCTCCGTGAAAGGTACCAGCAGGCATTTCTCCAGCCCACTGGCCCAGCAGCACTGACCCCATAAGGAATGGGGTTTGACCCGCCACCCTGCCCCCACCTGTGCTGCTCACCATACTTCTGCTTGAGGAACAGCGACGACCCGCAACACTGCAGCTCCCCCTTGGCCATGATGGCAATGCGGTCCCCCAGCAGGTCAGCCTCGTCCATGAAGTGCGTGGTCAGCAGGATGGTGCGGTCACGCTTCTGCTGCTGGAGAAGGTCCCAGATGGCCCTCCTGGAGACAGCGTCCATGCCGGATGTGGGCTCGTCCAGCATCAGCACCTGGGGTAGAGGATCAGCCTCATGGCCACGGCAGAGCCCCGTCCCAGGCCCAGGCTGGCTGTGCCGCGGGCGCCTTGGGGCTTGAGTCCCGAAGACCGACCAGGACCACCCACACCAGGCTGCCCGTCCAGGCGTCCAGGACCAGCAGCCGGCCCCTGCCTCTGGGCCCCGCTGCCCCGAGCCTCTGCCGACTGTGTCCACCAGGAGGCCTCCCCACTGTCCCGTACCTTGGAGCCCGCAATGAGGGCGATGCCAATGGAGAGCTTGCGCCTCAGGCCCCCGCTCAGGAACTTGCAGTGTGAGTCCCGCTGGTCCTCCAGGCCCAGGGTGTGCAGCATCCGTGCCACCTCCTCAGGGCACTTCTGGTGTGACAAGCCTTTCAGCTGGAATAGCAGGGGACGGAGGTCCGGCGAGCCACTTGGCCTTGGTGTGGCCTGCTTTCCCCCGCCTGCTGACTCAGGGTCCTGACCCTCCCACTGCCTTTCCTCCAGGTCTGCAGAAGGGCTCCTTGAAGCAGCTTCAGTTTGCAGGGAGGCCAAGGGCTCTCGCCTCGGGAGCCCAAGCACATCACCGACGGAGCCACCGTGGTGGTCCAGGAGTCCTGCCACCTGCCGGCTCACCTGGGCGTAGAAATACAGGTGTTCTGCGACTGTCAGGTCATCAAACAAGATGTCGTGCTGTGGACACAGGCCCAGGCTCTTCCGGATCTGAACCATGTCTTGGGAAATCTCATACCCATTGATATACGCCCGTCCACTGGTCGGAGGAAAGAGGCCTAGGGCCAAACAGAAAACCGCAGGGCTTACGCTCGGCAAACTATCTGTCAGTCGGCAGGTGAGGCGTGGCCTGCACCTTGTAAATGTGTTTTGCTTCATCTGGCCTGAGCACCCCACCTGTGAATGAGGCGGGCTGCCAGAGCCACAGGCCGTGTCCCTCACCTGTGAGCATGGAGAGGGTGGTAGTCTTCCCTGCGCCATTGTGGCCCAGCAGGACGGTGATCTGCCCCTCATACAGGTTCAGGCTCAGGTCTCTGACGGCTGCCTTTCTAACACTCCCCACTCCGAACATCTGTGGGAAGGGTGAAGGGCAGCCCTGGACTTGAGGGGCCCTCCCTGCTCCCCCCTGGAACACCCTCCTGTCTCAGGAGACCACACCCAGGGGCGCCCAGAGGTGGGACATTTTGGGCACAGCGCTGGTTGGAGGCCATGCTGCTTCCTGCTGCCCTGGCCTCCCCAGCCCTTGACAGGTCCCCACACCCCCATGTCTCAGAAGGACTAGAAGGCCCACGAGGCCAAGACAAGGCTGAAGCAAGCACAGGAAGTGTTTGCTGCAAAGCTGATGTGGGGTCAGGTCCCCGGGGCATGTGCTACTGACTCGACCCCGAGTCTCCGCACTGTGCCTGGGGATGGTCAGAGAGCAGCCTCGGAGACCGGTCACGAGCTCAGACAAAGCCCTGGGCCAGGCAGCAGAGCCTATGGCCCTGAGAGCCCTGGGCTCTCCCTGTGGCACCCACAGGGCATGGTACCTTGGACACGTGCTTGATCTTGATGCCAGCCACCAGGTCCTCAGGCTCGGCCTCAAAGTACTCGGTCCTGAGCGCTTTCTCAGGGTCCTCATCAACTTCCTCTTTCCCCATGGCTGTCCTCGGGCTCCCGCGCCAGTAGGAAGGCTAGGAGGGAAGGTGGGCGGGCCTCAGCAGACCCACGCACTGCATTTTGTTGGTGATAAATAATAGCAACAACTAACTAATGTGAAGTCTGAGACCGGCTCTGCCCACATGCGCCACAGCTGCAGGGAGGGTGCTGGGGGAGCCCCAGGGGTGGGCCTAGAGCCAGCACAGCTCCTCACCCACCCAGGTGGGGATGCCTCAGTTTCCTCTTATGCCATAGGGGCAGAGGCTTATTGTGCATCTCAACTCAGATATGATGTGAGGAAAAAGTGAGCGGTGACACTGAGAAGAGGGACAGGCTCTCAAAAGTTCCAGTCCAGGGTGACATACAGTATTAAAGGGGAGGGTGTGTCTGCACCCCCCAGCACAGCCTTACTCAGCCACACAGGAGTTCACAAAACAAGCAGAAGCAGCCAGCTGTGCCCCCCACCACTAGGGAAGCTTCCCCCCTCTGCTGGATGACCCCTGCCCTCTGTCTAGCCATCAGAGCCAGGCTGGGGCAGGAATGCAAGCACAGAGCACGTGCTCCACATGCTCCCACCCTCAAGGTGAACCGTGGGCAGACAGCACAGGGGAGGACGGGAGAGGTAGGGGAAGATGGGGGTGGGCAGGGTCAGGGGAGAGGCAAGCGCAGGGCCAGGCAGAGCCCCTGCGGGGCGCAGGCTGTTTGATCCCCAGCTAGACTCCTGGTGCACTTCCAGTGTCAGGAATAGCCCTGGTACACCACAGCCCTCTGGCTTCAAGGGACACGTTTGTCACATTTTAAGTGGCTGTGAAATCAGGATGCAAGTTACAAATCATGAAATGCCAGTTTAATTGTCGGCATTTTTCTTCCTTAGTGATACAGCAACAGTGCCTCTAAGAATCAGGGGCAGCTTAGGTCTGGTGGAACAGCAGCAGACGCCTGGTGAGTTATCTGCTGGCCTCGATGACTCCTGAGGCAGCACCTGACCCCCATCAGCAGGGACAGCAACACACACGCTGGCGGTTACAACCGAGCCGCCAGCAAGAGCAGAGGTGGTTCATGAAAACGCAGATGTGTAAGTATACGCATTCTTACAAATAAGTAACATTTATAAATATGTATAAAATGTTTATAAATAGACCCACATGTACACATATTTAAGGTATCTTAAGATGCATTGTTGGGCTTAAAAAAAAACAGGTCTCACGCATTTTTACAATATGATCCCTTTCTACAAAAAAGTGTGTAATGTTACATACACATACACGTGTACTACATGCAATAAATGCACAGACGGAGCCTGCGGAGGCGTGCATGGGGCCACAGCATCTGTCTCTGGGTGGAAGGTTGTGCTGTGCGCTGCAGCAGCACCACTGTTTTCACAAGAAGCCGTATTGCTTTGTGGGTGGAAGTCCTAACAAGACCTTTTCATGAGAAGGGAGGCTGGGGAATGGGGTGTGTGGGTTCTGTGCCGGGAGGCCAGCACAAGCTTCTCTCAGACCCGGGAGGCAGGGCCCCCGCACGCAGCGGGGGCTCTTGGGGCCTGTACGATATTCTGCTCACCACCCGTGTGCAGGGCAGGGTCCTCGGTCCAGCCTGCCTAGGCGTCCTGTGCAGGGCCCAGGGGACCTGGAGAATGCGCTGGGACCCCCCAACGATGAAGAGCAGGGGCGTCGGGACTCACCATGAAGCAGAAGTACCAGGGCTGGGGCACGCCCAACTGCCCCGGGAACACGGCCTCCACGTACCAGGCCACCAGGCCGTAGAGCACGGAGTCCAGCAGCAGCATGCCCAGCGCCTGTCCAAAGGAGAAGTCGTCGTCCACGTTGACGGGACTCAGGAGGTCTGGCCACTGAACGCCTGTGCCTGGAGGACACACCAGGAAACAGGCCTGAAATGTCCCCACAGTCCCGGACGGTATGTGTGCCTTCTCTGCCCGCTTGCACAGCCATCTCAGGGCTTTTCCACAGGCTTTAAGGCAGCCCCAGGTTACAAAACCGGGAAGTCACAGACCAGCAAAAGCTCCTTAACTGTTGGATGGGCTTGCATTTGATTCACGACACACAGATGCATACACCGTATCTGAGACACACATACATGTGCATGTACAAACACACCACACACATGCACACCATACCCACAGTGCACATATGAACACCTCCACATATATGCACACCATACCAACATGTGGGTACATGCACGTCATACCCATGACACACATGTACACATACATGTAGGGCACACAACACGTGCACATGCCATACCCATGATACCTGAGTACACATACATGTGTTAACATATGTACACACAATACACATACATGCATTGATACACATACACTTGTACAGATACATGGTTTGGGGAAGGGCCAACACAGGAATGGTGTGCATTTAAAAAATGGAAAGACTTCAGCCATGCATAAAGCTCTATCTCATGGCGTTTAGAGTTCTGTCCCCTCGCTGGTTTGCAAGGTCACAGTCCCAGTGAAGCTTGGGGATTCCGTAGCCAGCCTACCCTCTGCTGATAGAAGTGGCTGCTCTTGGCCTTGGTCAATGTTCACTTTAAAACAACTAGACATTTGTTTTAAGAAAATTCCGTATAGAACTTCGAAAACCAAGAGGTGCCATGTAGTTAGATTCCTCTATGTAAATGGCTTTCCAGAAAGTATTTGAACCCTAGAAGGGACTGCATATAAAAGTCTATGCTTTATCACAAACTACAAAACACAGAAACATGTATATTTAAAAGCCAAAGTGTTATGAGACATGGCTGATGGAGGAAGGAAATTCCAATGAAAGACGAAGTGCCCTGAATGTTGCCATGTTTCCCACCCACCTCCTTCCACAGACCCACAACCAGGAAGCTACAACCAGCAATCGTGTGACTGGAAGAAACGGCACATTCAGCCTGCAAAGAGGATGTGTGGATGGGGTGGGCCAGGCAGGCCGTTGGGGAGGGGGGCTGCATTCACCTGCTCCACGCAGAAGACCCAGGGAGACGGAAGCCAGCACACCAGTCACACAGACACTCACCCCGCCTGCCTCTTCTTAGAGCCAGGAGAGGAGGTCAGGGGTCTGAGGCCATTTGCCTCTCCACGCCCTCGGTGAGAACCCAAGGGGCCTTCTAACAGGTGGCTCCCATCTCCGAGCTTTCCCAGTGGGTGAGGGGCTGGGGTTAAACTAGGTGCCCTGTCCCCATGGGGGAGTGTCCACAGAGGGGTCTGCAGAGTGGGCACCCACAGGTCAAGCCACCCAAATAACTGTCTTATTTGACCCTATTTCAAAAATCAAGAAAATTCACAAAAATCAAGAAAACTGTCTTAGTCTGTTACCTGTTTCTCTCAGGCCTCCTGCTATCCCCGCCAATTGTGGCAGGAGGTACTGGGAAACAGGAAGACAAGTGACTCCAAGCCACCTCATTACTATAAGCCAGGAGCAGACCAGGCCACACACCAAAACCTCAGGCATGATGACCCCGGACGCCTCGCAGGCAGACGGACTCAGAGTGAGCCAGGGCCCCACAGCCAGCTGGTGGGAACAACTGGCTCCAAAAGGGTCTGGAGGGGACTCCAAGCCGGGGCTACCTGGCCCAGTGAACACGCTAACCCTGTCCTCTGAGCCGTGGCATCAGTGACCCACCTCCCCTCCCAGTCTGCTGGGGCACAAGCTTCCCCGTGTTGGGGACCTGTCCTCCCCATACTCCGCCAGCAGCCCACTGACTTGTCTGTGATCGAATCTCAGTGGAACCAGGTGGGCACGGGTGGCTCCTAGAAGAACATTCACCTTTTGCTTCAAATTTCCCAATGAGTTGGGCCCCCATCGCCATGGCAACATTGGACAGGAGGCAGGAGAAGAGCTTCTGGCTGAGGGTCATCCAGTTGTATCGAGGAGCAACGAAGAAGTAGGGGATGTAGGTGAAGAAATAGAGGAAGCCCCCAATGGCAGCTGCCATGTTAGCTGCAGACGAGAGGAGAGGCACTAGAACACACATCCTCGTGTCCAGGAGGTGCACTCATGTGCTAAGCAGAGGCCCAGGGCCAGCCGCCCGACCCCTCCCAGCATCAGCCACACGGAAACACGCGCCTCAGAGCTGGGGGACCTTCTTGGGCTGTGTGTGTCCTCCCCACTCCAGGGACCCCACACTATCTCTCCAGCCCTCTCCTGCACACCGCCCTTGACACTGCGCCCGACCCCCCAGCCTGCTCCACCTGGTCCGCCCAGCTCATTCACTCGGGCATTCCAGATACTGGCTGTGCACCTGCTCTGGGCCATGTCCCCCACAGGCACCGGGAGACTGGCACAAACAGAACACACAAGGCCCCTTCACTTGCAGAGCTAATACTCCAGGAAGACAGAGTGAATGAGTCCATAGGCAGAGTGAGCTGGACGGGTCTCCGAAAGAAGACACAGAGCACGGATGGGATGGTCCCCAGGCTGGGGGTTGTGACTGTGGGAAGGGTTTTATGAGGAGGTGGCACATGGGGAGGAGGTGAGGACCAGGGCAAGGGGTGCGGGGAGAACAGTGTTACTTTAGTCCAAGCCGCAGCCCTGAAACATTATGGTCTTAAGACTCCTTTATGCTCTTGAAAATCATTACGGATGTCAAAGAACTTTCGTTTACATGGTGCATATATATATATATATATATATCAATATTTAAAGTATAATTAAAGAATTATACTTTTTAATTTTAAAGAATAACAATAAACCCATTACAAGTGAACATATTTTTATGAAAACAACATTTCTCCCAGTTCAGTGAGGAGAGTGGCACAGTGTTGGATTTTTGCAAGCCTCTATGCTGATTTACCAGATCGCAGGTGACTTCTCCCATCTGCTGCATTCACACTGTTATTATGCCATCTTGGGTGAAGCACATGAAGAAAATCGGGCTTGCAGAGCAAGTGATTGGGAAAGGGGGAGGTTTTTTAATAGCTTTTTCAGGTGTGTGTAGAAATTCGTCTTTGATACCACACCACTGAACTACCACTCAGCAAGTGATAGTTTCCTAAAGGTCAGCCTCATGGAATCAAATCGACCAATGAACTTTTCATACTGTTACATGAATATCCACTGGGCTATCCTGCACTCTGAATGGCTTATTACTCTTTCCTGATCTCGTACCACAAGGATTGGCCATTTGGAAAATGTTGCTTGTTGTATTAGGTAGATCTTCCAAATGTTGACATATTTTATTATAAACACATAAAAAATCACATTGGGTAATATTATTGCCAAACTCATAAAAACTAAGAACCAGGAACTGTTGAGCTCATGGTAGATACAGGTTTGCAAAATCCTAGCTTTTGCTTGAAAGTTCAAATTTTGTAACTGACATCAGATACTGTCTGTTGTTTGCCTTGAAAGACAGCTTGTATTCAAGAAGGTAACTGCTGAATACCCAGGTGTGACTAACTATAGTCTGACAGTCATCTTTTTGAGCAACGTGGTGGTTCTTGAAAAAAGCAGTTAGTTTAGCTGGCAACTCAAACAACTGTACACATTTCCCTCAGGATAATTATGCTTCAGCATGCAGCTGAGTACTTTATGTGTATGTCCTACTTGTCACAGATTATTTAAAATTCATGCTTAATAGTCAAGGTTTAACAAAATTAACATTTTTTGCTGCTCCACTAAGGATACTTTTGGCATTTTTGTTTGTTTACTGGAGCACATGGGGGTGAAGAATGCGTGCCCAGTACAGTTTGGGGCTGGTCTTGGTCAGTGCTCAGAGCCAAGGATTCTGTTCCACTAGAGCACATGCCAACAAGGTTGGGGAGGCAAGCACTATCTTTGTATCCTTTTTCTTTTTTTTTAATCTTTGTATTCCTGTGAAAATGGTTTTTATTTTTGTGAACTCCTTAAGGGCCTTGGAGATCCCCAGGAGTCTGTGGACTGCACTTTGGAGAACCTCTGACCTAGGTGGAGACAAGGGCCAGGAGAAGGGAGTGTGCCAGGGCTGGGCGAATGGGCAGAGGGCAGTAGCAGGTGAGGCCAGTCATGAGGCCACATGGTAAACCAGCCCAGTGATGATGGCGGCTTGGGCCCTAGGGTGGTGGGGAGGAGCAGTCAGGTACATCCTGACAGTAGATCTGACAGGACTCTTCAGGGTCTGGGTGTGGAGGATGGGAGAGGAGGAAAGAGTGGGGGGCAGTCCCAAGGCTTTGGCGTGAGCATCCCGAAGGAGGGAGTGAGGCTGACAGACGGGGAAGGCATTCCTGAGGCTAAGAGCAGAAGTGTGGGCCCAGACGCAGTCCAACTGAGACGAACACCAAGCTTTGCAGGGAAGTGGTCTGGTATGAGCCTGAATTTCAGGACAGAAGCCTAAGCTGGAGATCTAAATTTGGGAATTATCTACCTGTTCAAAGCCCCCCAAAGGAATGAGTTCAAGTAGAAGAGAAAGACTTCAAAGTAAGAATGTCAAGGACTTTTAGTAAATATGTACAAAGCTCAACTGGATAGTGAATAGAAAATAAAATGATAGAAATAAACTCTCAGTGAATGAGACACAGTCTAGAACATACAAAGTCAAAGAGAGAATTACAGAATTAGAAGTTAACTGCAAGGATTTCATACAGAACTCAGCACAAAGAGATTCTTTTAAAGTACGGAAAAGAAGTTAAGAACATAAAGGAGAGACCGAGATGCTGCCACCTCACACCCATTAGGATGGCCACTATCCATCAGAAGTAGAGGGACTGGAACCCTCGTGCACTGCTGGCAGGTATGTAAAATGGCACAGGAGCTCTGGAACACAGCCTGGTGGTTCCTTAAACGTTAAAAACAAAACCTTATGATTCAGCAGTCCCGCTTCTGTGTATGTACTAGAAAGAACTGAAAGCGGGGTCTCAAAGAAATACCTGCATACCCATGTCCTTTGCAGCGTTAATCACAAGAGCTAAAATGTGGAGGCAACCCAAGTGTCGATCAACAGATGAGTGGGAAAGCAAACTGTGGTTACATATATAACAGAATACTATTCAGCCTTAAGAAGGAAGGACATCTGGACACCTGCTACAACATGGGAGAACCCTGAGGACCTTGTGCTCAGTGAGAGCTGTCAGACACAAAGGGGCAAATACTGTGTGTGACCCCACCATGGGAAGTCCCTAGAGTGTCAAATTCATAGACAGAAAGTAGGATGGTGGGTGCCTGGGGTGGAAGAAGTGGGGATGAAGCTGATGGTTTTGCAGGGACAGAGTCTCAGTTTGCAAAGATGAGGAAGCCCTGGGGAGGGTGATGGTGGCTGCACAGCAAGTGAATGTGCCTAATGCCACTGAATGTACATTTAACAGTGGTGACCGTGATCAATTTTATGTTTTGTGTATTTTATCACAATAAAAACAAAAGGAAGATGTTAAGAGACATGGAAGACAAACTCAGGGATGCCAACAACAGTCTGATCAAGGACAATGACAGCAAAAATGGGAGGAAAATCTGAAATCCTGTAGAACTAAAAAAGATGATTCCTCAGATTGAGTCATTCATGTCAAGAAAAATCACCCCTAGATAGTCAGCAGACTTCCTGCCAACAATTGTGGGTATCTGATGGTGACAGGGTGACATTATTCAAGTGCCAAGGGAGAATATCCATCCGTGGGGAATTTCACATGCAGCTGAAGCAGTACTCCGCAGCACAGATGAAATAAAGCCACCTCGGGATGCAGGAAGTCATAATTAACTACCCCTGCACTTCATGAGAAGGCCTCTTAAAACACCTGCACCAGCACTTGGCCAGCTGGATCCAGGAAGGTGCAGGTGTCCCCACCCAGTGCCTGGGTTACTTGTTCATCCCAAATGAAACCGCCCGGTTCTGCCACCCGGGTCCGCATCCCACGTCCCAGGGGCGGGCGGCTCACCTTTGCTGAAGAAAGTGCTGACCATGAAGCTGAAGGCGATGGAGGAGATGGCAAAGCACAGCAGGAAGGCCAGCAGCAGCGAGGGGTCGCTGTGCGTGAGCACCGCCACGCCCTTCCTCACCTGCGGGCACCACCCCACGGTCACACCCGCAGGTTGTGGCGGGGGGGCGGGGCACCAGACCGGGAGGACTCCTAAGTGTTCCTGCCACCGCAAAGCGCGAGGATGGGAGCAGGGCTGTGCCGGGGGACCGAGGCGCCTGGCCCCCCACTGACAGGGAGGATGGCCTGGAGGCTGTGGAAGCGGCCTCAGGAGCTCCCTGGGGCTCTCCATCCGCAGGGCTCTGCATTCACACCGCGGCCCCCTCGGGCCGTGCTCACCTTGATGCAGAGGAGCAGGGCCATGCAGCCGACGGTGAAGAGGAGGAGCAGCAGGAAGAGCAGGAACCAGGCGCTCCAGTGCAGCCAGCCGCTGAGCCCCATCATGCGCATGTGCTCCTGGGAGAGGACACGTGGTGGCGTGCGACATGACCACCTGCCCTCGCCCGCCTCACGCCGACTCCTCGGAGCCTTCTGCGCAGACGCGTGGTGTCGTACGTGCACCGAGGCAGGACGAGGAACGCCGGGCAAGGAGCACATGCGCAGGAAAGCACGTGCTGGCCAAAGGCGGAGGACAGGCCGCTGCATGTGAGCCCTGCCCTCGGGTGTGCGGACCTGGCCTCTCCCTACCTCCCCCACTGCAGGGCTGCCTGGCTGGGGTGCCCTCCCTGCTCCTGCTTCAACACGACATGGCTTCATTAGTTCTACAGGGTGCCCAGCAGACGGGGCCTGCCCATCCGCAGACCCCTGCTGGCAGCAATCTGAAAGCTCCAATCAGCAGCTTTGGCACCACTGAGAATACGCCAGGTGTCATTTCACTGGTGCTGCAGACACTGCCAAGGGGGGAATAATTCCGGTGGCATCACTGGTATGAGTTTACAGGTGACACTACTCTATCAGGTGTCCTCCTGAAAGCCGGTGACCCTCCTTCAGAGTGACATGTCATATACATCTTCATTCCCCAGTGTGCTGTGCCTGAGAGCCCAGAACTACAGCTCTTTTTGGTCAATATGCAAACCTAATTAGCTTTCTCTTCAGCCATGTATTTAGACATTTTGTCTCAGGGCTGACCTGCTCTCTAGTGTGGCTCTGTCCAATGGGAACAAAATATGAGCCATAAACTTAATTTAGAATTTTATAGCAGCCACATTGAAGAAGTTAAAAGCAACACGTGAAATTAATTTCAACCAAGTATTTCACTTAACACAGCACATCCAAAACGCTGTCTTTCCCTTGTTTGGTCCATAGATACAGCACATAATACGGTGCTTTGTCAGGGTTTTTTAATCTGAGAGACCAGGCCTGATTTCAAAGCCCCAGTGTGGCCTGGAGCCGTGGGGGATGTCCACCCCACATCCCCTGCTCTTGTAGCTCTGGTACCCAGGAGCTGCCCTGCCAGATGATACCGCAGGACCAGTTTCCAGGTAACTGTGCCTAAACCCTGCACACCAGAATGTTTTAAAGCCCAACACAGACAGGATTACCTTCAGCTTTTTCTCTTTCTCTTGCACAACAGCCCGGATGATGCTGAGGGACGTATATGTGAAGCTCAGCATGAGCAGCAAGGGAAGCTGGTACTGGATGGCGACCAGGAAGGGGTCCGAAATAAAAGGCGGGTAAGGGAACCTCTTGGCAATCACAGTGAGCTTCTCGAACAGCTGGTGTGTGGAGGCGTTGGCGTGGTACTGCATGATGGCCCTGTCCACAGCATGCTGCATGGCCAGGAAGCCTTCTCGGATGTACCCTGAGTGCGGGAGCAGAGGACCCTCTAGCAGGTGGGCTGGCACATGCACGTGGGAACACCACATCACGGGGGCTGCTCGCTCACCTGCCCAGGGCAGCACCCTGGGGCCTCGCACACCTCGCCCTACCTGTTCACCTTACTTCCCCTTCCAGGTTTAAAATCTTGCGCTGGGATGTTAGCTGGTGAAGGGACCCGGTACCAGTGACACCCCTCCTTGGCTACCCCTAGCTCTGTTCCAGATGCAACCATGCTTCAGAGGAGACAAACAGGCCATTGCCGGCCAAAGTCACATGGGCAGACCAACATGCATGCTGGTAGGGTACAAGAAGCCAAGATCCAACTTGTATAAATGTTTTGCCAACACAAACCATGGGCAATTATACAAGGACCCCAGAGCTCACAGAGCCTGTAAAACTGTGCCCAGAGGTGGCCTGGGAGAGATGGGAAATGTAAAACCAGCCCAGAAGATTCAGAGCAAACTGAAGCTTCTTAAAGACTGAACAATAAACGGTTCTTTCAAGGGCACATGTCTTCTGGGAAGCATTTTCAAAGATGACTTTGGCCATTCAGAAGCCAGTTTTACTGGATCTTTTCTTCCTTTTCCCACAAAGAAGATCAAACATTCCTAAAACGCATTTCTGCAGAGAAATGTAAGGTGGCTCCCACATGACTAGGGCACCCCAGGAAGGTGACCCGGCCATGCGAGGGGCTTCTCACCAGGCTCCCCGCCATCAGGGGATGCGGGCTCCCTTGGTCCTGGGTTTGGGAAAAGTGGAAAAAGGGAAGTGGTGTGCCATCCCTCTGTCTCTTTCAGGAAAAAGGAACCAGTCTGGGTCCACATGTAGTTTCTTCGTGTGTAACTGAACCGTAAGTGGTACTTTACCTACAGAAACAAAACCAACTGCTCTGAAGGCTCCAGACCGAGCAGCAAACATCTGTGCAGATCCAGCGTTTGGGGGACCCTCACTGCCAGGGACTCCCCACTTTCCCAGCCCTTGACCATGTCCAAGGGGTCTTGGAATGTCAGAGCCCAGAGACCCCAAAGAGGGGCACCTTGGGGGTGTTGTCACCCTCTCTTGCCACCCACCACCATGAACCCTCCCTGGGGGGGCATCACTGATCATCAGCAGGGCAACCAAAATAATGCTATAAGGATCTGATGGTTTCCCAATCTTAATGTCATTGGGCAAAAAAAACCTGTTTTAAACTTGTAACTGAAAGCGTATTTAAGCCCCAAGTCCCTGCTGCTCTCCTGTCTATCCTATCTGACTACCCAGAGAGGCCCAGAGACTGGTCAGGACTTCCTCAGACCAGAGGGCAGGAGAGCCCAGGGAGACAGGATGCTTCTGCTGACAGGGGACAGGTCTGTGTCACCTGGCTCCCTCAGAGGGGACTGAGATGGCTGCCGAGCCCAGAAGAGAGCTGGAGATGCACCCCAGGCAGGCAGAGCTCTGGGAGGCTGAGCTAGCACATGAGGGAGGAAGCAAGGCTTTGGAGATGGGGTCCTCACCGCCAGCGGCAGGGGGTCCTTGCTGTGGTTGAGGGTGTGCTCAAACACCACGGCAGCCAGCACGTTGTTGGAGCGGTTATCGTATTTTACGTAGTCCTCAAAGTCCTTCTCGGAGGGAAAGCCACGGACTGCAGGGGGCATCAGAGCTGCGAGTTACCCACCCATCCATTCCACTTGAAAAATCTGGACATTTCAGGTCATTTTCAAATAAAGGATTACAAACTAAACAAGTTTCTCTAGGGCTTGGTAAACGTTCCCTAGGCTTTTACTTTGGCAGACCTGTAACCTAGGGGGCCTGGGGGTGAGGGGTGGTGAGAGCTGGCAGTGGGCAGGCTGCAGTGCGGGTAAGACTCCTCCCGGCAGCGACCACCTGCACGGGTTTCACAGCCGGGCAGCCCCTCTCGCATGACCACACCACCCAACACTGTTTAAGAAAACATATGGCCTGTGAACCAACCGCTCCACCCGGACCCGTTTCACATGAAGGGTTTCACTGAAGTCACCTGGGGAGACCAACACTCACCCTGAGTATTTGCTACCCTGAATTAAATAAGCCACAGAAGCTCAAGTGTGGAGAAAAAGGGCTATTTTTCATCCCAAAAGCAAAGAGCTGGAAAAGGCAACTGGCCTATTTACTGGGAGTGTCCCCAGCTGGCTTCCCAATGGCTGCTTCTAGCGCCGTCCTCCCAGAACCACACCCCAGAAAAGGCTTTCAGCACCGTGTGCTCTGGACACGCCTGGCTCTCATGACTAACGAGCCTTCTTGGGGATGTGAACGCCTGTTCCTGCTGTGGGTGGCCGGGTGGGGCTCCTGGAGCAGAGCTGCTGACCTGTCATCCATGGCCATCAATTGGGCCTCACCACTCAGGTTCTCACGTTATAATGAGACACGATGGACATTTGTCCAGGTGACACAGCCAATGAGAGGCCACGCTGGGCCTCCAGTGCGACGGGCCCCAGCACGCCCCACCTCTCATGTGGGTCACCAGCATCCTCCTCGCCGCTTCAGTAATGGTCTCCACGGCATCACTGTGGGACGGGATGTAGGCGAGCTCCCAGGTGGCGCCCGGAGGGGGGAAGCTGAAGAAGAGCGGCAGCTCCCGGATGGACTGGCCAGGGTAGATGGTGGCGTTGGGCACGTTTTCCGACTGGATCTTCAAGCGAAGCCAAATCAGGATCCCAGAGAACAGCAAGGGCAGCAAGAGCTCCAAGACTGTCACCAGGACCTTCCGTTTCTAGAGACACAGAAACGGCAGGTGAGTGGGCACCCAGGGACCCCCACCACCCCCCATCCCCGCCTCCCAGACCCACCTGCAAGATGTAGTTCTTCCAAAGCAGGAGCTTCAGCTGCCCAAGCACCGCCATCCTCCTGGGATAAGAGACCTGGCCACGACCGAAGCCGCCGTGCATGGAGAGTGGGCGCTGCTGGGGGATGGAGGGTCTTAGCAGCCACAGCGCCCTGTGCATCTCCTCACCTGGCCCACCTGCACTCAAACAGTGCCCCAGACGAGCCGCCAGCCCTGCGCTGTGCAACTGAAGCTCCCCTGCTAAAGGGTCCCCTCCGCTGGATAAATGCCCTTCTGATACCCCTGTGGCTGCTGTAATGTGCTATTTCTCAGCCAAATACTCTGCTCCCTACTGGCTTTACTCTCAACCCCCACAGAACCAGTAAAAGGAAACACCCTCACGTCCTGGTTGGGGGAGGGTCTCTAAAACTTGGGGAGGCTATGTGGGAAGCAGGAGAAGAGGCCTTGGATGGGGCCTCTGTCCCCCTGGGGGCCCTTGCTGGCCTCATGCACCAGAGGTGGGACCCGATTGGCATGTGCATGGATGGGCCAGGGGGTGATCTCCCACCTTGAACCCTCAGGACCTGTTCTTCCTGCCTTAACTACAAGCATTGGTCTATTAAATGCCTCCATGTGAGAATGGTTATTTTCCTCCAAAGAAAACCTATCCGGTGTTACATATGAATGTGGTATTTAAATCTGGCACATGTAACTGGGAAAGTCTGCTCGAGACTATTGGACACAAGGGGCAGCAGAAACAAGCAGTGGTTTTAAGGGTCTCCCTCCATTTAGGGAAATCCATTTTATCAGATTTCCAGTGTAAGATGCAGAGACACTGAGCCCAGAGCTCTTCAGATGCTCAGCTACTGGAGAAGGAGATGGTCGGAGTGAGCCCAAGACACGGACGCACCCCGTTCTGGAAGCTGTGGGCATGAAGGCTGGGCGCAGACCTAAGCGGGCAGTGAGAGTGGTGGACGAGGGCCCCAGAGAGCTTGGCCGCCATCCACACGCTGTCTGCACGTCCACCCCTTGCAGCTCAAAGTCCTAGGTGGGGAGCAGCCTCCATGACTCCTGGGAAGACTCCTGGTTCCAGTGGCTTGGTCCCACGTTCCCACTGAGGCTGACCTAGCCCAGGGTAAACACTTGGACAAGTGGATGGTAAATGGTCCCTAAGGGAACACTTGTTAACACTACTGCCCAAGCCTGTGTCCCAGACCCAGGGCCTGTGGGGTGGGGGCTTGTTTGTTTTTTAAAACAGCCAGTTGTGCTTGGGGTGTCAGTCAGTTGAAAATCATTTCCATTAACACTCTTTTTAAAATTAGATAACGCTTTTTAAAAAAAGATGAGGCTGCCCATCCCTATATGTTACTCAAAACGTAGTGTATAGATATTTGTAGAGAACACAGATGCCACAAGTTACTTACAAATTAACTTACAAAATAGCTTGTAACTAACCATGTAGTTAAAATGTGAAGTTACAGCTAAAATAGTATGAAAAGCTATTAAGAGGCAAGTTATTAAATTACCCAAATTCTTTTAAAATTAACAAGGAGTAAAAACTGTCTTAGAATCAGTTGCCTATAGTGATTTAAGGGTACCCATCAAGGCCTGTGGCTCCCTAATGGTTTCCGGAAGTGGTTTAGGCTAAGAGGGGAAAGCAGTGCCTCCGGGCAGGGCGGTCATTCCCCTGGGATGAGCTGATGGGAGCCTGGCTGGCCTCTATCAAGAGGGGAATGTAAAAATGTCACACAGAACATAAAAAGAAGTAGATGAGTTACTTTTCTAGAAAAGCCTGGCCGAAAGGACACATCCCCATGCTTACCCCTAAGGCCCAATGTTGGGGGTGGGGAGGCAGAGAGACCGTCACCTTCCCACCAGGAAGAGGCCGGACAGCAGCCTCTGGGAACTGACCTGGATGCTGGGAACGGCTCCTGCCACGCTCTCCTCCCGGGCTAGTGGAGGACTGTCCTGGAGGAGGCGGCCCTGCGCAGAGGGCTCCGGGGTGGGGCTGGCAGGCCTCTCGAGTGTGGTGGGCTGGCCTTGGCGTTCTGGAGGGTTGATGCCCTGTGGCACATCAGGAGGGGCCCAGGGCTCACTGGCATGACTCTCCGACCTTTGGGCAAAAGCAGGGTGCTATAGCGCTTAATATCACAAAACACCTCTCCCCAAGTTAGAAAATCAAAGAGCATAAGGGATGGCAAGTATGTAACTTAACACAGAGCAGATCAGATAACAAAGAAACATGGATTTTGGACGACAACGGAGAGCACAGCCAGTCGAGAGCACGGGTAACTGGCTGTGCTCTCCGGAGACAATTAAATACAAAAAGCCTTTATGATACACATAGGTACTTTTATGCCCACAGGGCCTCTGGATCCAGCCGGGCTTCTGGGATCATCACCCTTTTATAGACAAGAAATCAGGCCTAGCCCAGGATCACACAGCAGGACAAGCTGCAGAGGCACATGGAAACCTGCAGTCCACGTTTTTAACCCCTTCATCCCTGTCTATCCTAAAGGCAGTAAGTATCTTCAAAAATGTGTGAATATGGCTCCCAGAATGTAACACAGAAATCAAGAGGACAAATGCCCCTTGAGCCCCACCGCCTTGGTAGGAGTTTTATTTATTTCTGTCCCACAGTGCCCAGCTTGCGGCTCTGTGCATGCCAGGCTTCCTCTGAAGTCCCACAAATGCTACACTCATGTCTGTTCTGTTTCAGTAAAAAGGAATTTAAAGGAGATTCCCGGAATTACAAGATCTGGGAAGCTTCCTGGTTACGAAAGCAAATGTACATGAGGAAAGGAAATTAAGGTTCCTTGAAACACTCGACACTCTGGCACCAAGGGTCCTCGCAAGTGGCAGTGGCTGGTGTCTGAACCAGCCCCACGTCCTTCTCCGAGGCAAACACTCGGCAGGGCTACTCGGGAAGCCACCACCTCCGCCCACAAGAGCATCTGAGAGCTTCCCCTACACGGCTCACTTCACTCCTCTGGGGCCGGGGCCAGGAAGGCAAAGGAAAGCTTTTTCCCAACTAAAAGGCTATTTGCTAACTGTTAAAATATTAAACATTACACAATTGTTGAGTATTTCAATGTTTGCTCTTTAGGCGAGCAACTGAATTGGCCCAGAGTGAGTGCATACTGTGGGCTGCTAATTTCTGAGAACTCTCTTGATATGGCACCTTAGATTACTCTAAAAACAGTTTTCCCAGTAACTTTGGTTAGTTTAAGAGCCACGGGTTGTGCCAGTTCACCAGCATCCACTGCCCAGTGGCCCTTGGTGCTTGACAAGGGTCTGGACACCGCTTCCTTACTTGTGGTTCTTCTCATTATGAGTTTGACTGTGTCTTTCAATTCCTATTGCCCATGCAGAAGTTGTTCTTATTTCTGCATATGTGGAACAGAGCGGCATTAATGCTTCCAGAGAGGCCACTGCTGAGCAGGCTGCAAGACCAGTGAGCGGAAGTGGACAGGGCCCCTGGTGCAGCACGCGCCCCTCTGCCCCCTGTTCCTATCCTGAGCTCGGTGCATCTGCTCCCAGGGAAGCCGATCTGCACAGGCCAGGAGTTAAAAGCGGGTCCCATGAAAGCCAATGGCAGGCCCCAGATGTCACTCAGAGCAGATGAGCATGGCTCTGCCCTCTTTACCACAGGTGTGGGACAGACAGATGGCTTTGTTGGTGGTGCTGGCCCCAACTTGGCACTTGCCAGGAGGACTAGGTGGGCGAGAGCCAATCTCAGCTAGGCAAGCTTTCCCTTGTCAACACAAGGAGTCCACACAGTCGGTGGTGTTAAAGGTCTGCATGTATACATTGCTGAGGAAGGCATGCTAGGCACCCAGTTAACGTTTGCCGGCAGAATCTGTGGTTTTTTAGGATATACAACAGATAAAAAGCATTTACGCATCCAGCAAACACTGGCCAAGTGCTCACTGTGTGATGAGCAGGTACCAGGGATTTGGAAATGAAAATCGCAACATTCTTAACCCAAGGAGGGCACAGCCTGCAAATGCTTGTGCATGCAGTGACTGCTGTATGCGGAGCCAAATGAGGTGTCACGAGATCCTGGAGAAGACTGGAATTCAGTGTGTGTGTGTGTGTGTGTGTGTGCGTGTGCACGTGCGCACACAACGGAGCTCTGGGAAGGCTCTCTGGAGGAGGTGACACGAGTGCCTGCTCTCGAGGTCCTTGTCAACTGGGGTGTGGAGGGCATTACAAGATCACAGAGAAGTGAGACTGTGTGGGGGGAATAGCAGGTAGTTCCAAGTGGCTTGGGAGCTGTGACATGGAGGGAGCAGAGGTGGGCGGTGCCTGTCCGAAGGTGTGGCTCAAGCATATTTTGCTTTGCCTAATCTTTTACCCAGTACATGATCTCTTTTTTTTTGGAGAGGGTAGCACAGTAAATAAATGAAAATGTCTATTTAAGTGTACTCTCCAGATGAAATGTCCAAATACCAATAAACACTGTAAAAAATAGGCTGAAAATAGTAGGGCTGCTTACAGAGCGTGATTCCCACCAGTGAACCCCCGGGTGGTCAGCAGTGGAGAGAGCTGGAGGAAAGGAATGGTGAGAAATTCTACGTGTTAAGTATTTCTCTTTAAAAATGAGAAAAGAGTTGGCTTTCCTAATATTTAACAGATGGACGGACGTGGGCACCTTCCTGGCCTGGGTCAGTGCCATGGCACCCTGATGGGGGCCTCGCAGACCCGCTAGGGCTTCCATGCTTGGGGATATCACGGCTGTGGTCAGTTCAAAAAAGCCCCCCGCACAAGGCTGAAATAGCTAAGCTTAACGTACTCAGTAGTGATCTGGGAAGTGAATGATAAGAAGGCCACAGGTTATCCTATAACTTGGAAGTTAAGCAGGAAATACACATTTTCTTTCATTAAAAGTTCCAAATCCAGAGAACTTTTTCTTTATTTTCAATGACAAATGACCACAGCAGGGGCTCAGCTAGCTTATTTCTATTTCTTTTAAGCCTCAATCAAGGGACTCAAATCTGTCCCTTCAGGGAAAAGGTGACACTGTGTGAGAGTTATGGCTTTTCAACATAATCTGTGTCAAGAGCAGAGCATTTATGAAAACGTGTGTTTGGAGATGTCTGCACAGTTGTGTTGCCAAGGCCGTAGCCAGAGAGCTGTCTACTTGCACATGCTGAGCTTTGGGAGCCATAATCCCCCTCTTCCCTGACAGCTCGAGAGCCTCGCATGACTGGTGAGGGGGTCCAGAAAACAAGTGCCAGACTGACAGCATCTTCATGAGGGGTGCCGTTTCACTGCGGATGCCGCAAGAACCAGGAACTGAAATAAGCAGGACCCAGAACCAAACCTGCAAATGCTGGGCCTCTGGCTTCACCAAGGGTTTCTACGAGGCATGTGGACTTGATCATGTGGCTTTCTTTTAAAGGCGTTTTGTACCACAGAGCTTGGACCATGAATACGTGGAAAATATTTAACTGTGTTCACTCGCCTCTCATCCCTTTAAAAGGCATGTGTTTGTGTATATTTCTATGCCCCTAACACCCAGGACATGACTATAGTTCACAAATAAATAAATTATACGGGGGTGTATAATTTTTGTACACATAGCAGTGCACCAGGAGAGTTTGTGACAACTTACTGATACGAGTGGCCCTTGTGTGGGGGAACTGGGAACAAATCTACAAGCCTCGGTCACTGTATGAGAAGCCTACGAAGCGGGGTTCAAGGCTCCGGTCATTTGCACCTGGAGGCCCAGGTGGTAAACTAGTTTTCTGGCCTCATACTCACCACCACCACCACCACCACCACCACCACCACAACCTCTGGGCAGGGAGGGTCTGGTGACTGTCCTCAGGATCACGTGGCTCTGGGTTTACACTGATGCTCCTGGCAGGGGTTGAGGGTCATATTCTTTAGCCAAGGGTGGCGCAAAGGAGGCTACCTGGGGAGAGAGCCACAGAGTCTGTGCGGCCAGCAGCTTCCCCACCCACTGCAGCGTTGGTCCCCTCAGTGCTGTCCCTAGCCGGGCTGCCTCTCTAGGAGTAGGAAATGAGGTAATGAGGCAGCTGAGACTCCCCAGGGAGAGGGAACCGTGGCTCTTCTGCAGGAAACAGGGCAGCCAGATCACGGCTCAGGCCCTGCAAAGGCACCTGCCTGCCAGGGGCCCCAAACCTCTTCAACGCGGCAAAGGACTCCAAGTCACGTGGGCACAGGCACTGCCCAGGGTAGACCCTGACCTGCCCCCTGCCCTCGTACAGGTGTCTGCAGTTGGCTGCTTGGAATGTGAGCCCCCACCCCCTTCTCCACCTTCTGAACTCCCAGGCCTGTCTGAGACCCTCTGTGGAGCAGCCTGCTTCAGGGGCTCTTCATCTTGGCTGCACAACAGAATCTTCTGGGGACACCTTAGGGCAGAAACCAATGTCAGAGGCCCAGCTCTGGAGACTCTGGGCTTTGGTCTGGGCAAGGGACTCTCCTGGGGGACTAAAGGCACAGCAGCTTTCTGGGTGTCTCATCTGGCACTCATTTTATGTCATGGTTACTTCTGAATAAATCATCTCTTTAGCTCCATCCTAAGGTCCCTAAGAGCAGGGACCACATTCAATCAACTCATCTTCCAGTCGTGCACAGATCCTGGCCAGTCATTCCCTCCAGAGTTCTAGAATGCTCCCCTCAACCGGTGCCACAGCAGAGGCGGCTCCTGTCTCTGCAGCAGGGCTGCCAAAGCAGCTGCCGCCTGGGGAGCCTTCCCTGGCCCTCCCGGTGGGCCCTCCCGGTGGAGACCGTCAAACAGTCCACGGGGGACTGCCCGCACATGCACACACACTGTGGGGGGTCAGGGTCTTTTAAAAAACAACCCGAGCTGCTGTCTCGTCAGAATGGTAGTGGGTCACCGTATCATCCTGTCAGATGTAATAAGAGAGCGAGCAATTTAAAAAATATTCTCTAAGAAGTTAAAAAAAGGGCGGGGTGGGAGTTCCCAGAGCGTCCTTTTTTCCCTCTTTACCCATTCTGTCCCATTTCCCGTGAAGCGAACCCTCTGGAGGAGAACAGCCTGGAACCTCCCCAGGCTGACAGAAGCAGCACGGACTTTCCGAGCTGAGGGAAGAGTAGCTGCTCAGGAGGAAAGGGCGTGACTCCCTCACTGGCACCTTGCGGGGTCTCGGCCACCCGCTCCTGAGTGCCTGCCGCGTGCCAGGCGCTGGCTGTGTGCTGGGAGGGCAAGCCCCCCGCCCCCAGACCCAGATCCCCCGGGGGACCTCACAGTGCCCGAGGCGAAGGGGCCAACAAGCACAAACAAGCGCAAAGCCGAGGCTCCGGGGAGCAGAGGGGCGGGCACTCCTCCAGGCACCGAATATGCCCCACTGGGATCCGCCCCAGGCCCTCGCGCAGGGGGCGCCCTGCCCTCAAGAGGCTTGCAGGGCAGGGCGTGGAGGAGCAAAGCCCACGTTCACGCGAATTCACGAGGGCCTCCCCGGCACCGGCGCGCCCTCCTCCTGGGCGGCGCAAACCCACCCTTCCCACGGACGGCTGCGCCCACGACCCCAAGCACTGGAGGCCGCAGGGCAGGAACGGGGCCGCGCCGGGGGGAGCCTCCCACCCGTCCTGCCTGGGCGAGCCAGCAGCGGGGCGCTGCCAGGTGTCGGCCGGCGCTCACTGCGGTCGCCGCCCGCCCGCTCTGCTGGGGTGCAGGGGGCCGCGGCGGCCTGGCCCCGGGGCGCGGCTCTGCAGGCGGCCCTCCGGGCGGCGGCCCGAGGCGGGCGGGGCGGCACCTGCGGGCGGCGGGGAGGAGGGGACGGGCTGAGAGGGGAGGCAGCGGCGAGAGCGCGGGCCCGGAGGCACTCACCGACCGGCGGCACGCTGCTCTGTCGCGGGTCCCCTTCCTGGGCGGCGGCGGCGGCAGCGCTGACAGCTGCTAGGTCGCCGAGGCGGGGAGGGGCGCCTGCGACCCGCGCCCGGAGGCGGACCGGCGCTCGGCTCCTGCAGGGGGCGCGCCGGCCGGACGCGCGTGCGCAGTGGGCTGTCCCTGCAGGTGCCGGCGGCCGCCCCGCCCGCGCCTGCGCAGTGCCGAGGTTGGGAAGGAGTGGTGCGGAGTCCGCGTGCGTTCAGGGCGTGCGAGGCCCTGCCTGGCAGGGCGGACGGAGGCTGAGGAACTTTGTAGAGAATGTGTGTGGGGTGGGCAGGAAGGCCCTGCATGCCGGGGTGTGGCCATGGCCTCCGGCTCAGTTCAGAAGTGAGGGGAGGCCAATGGGGGTCCTTGGGTAGATGGGTCTCCCATTAGGGTTGTTAAAATCAGGAAAAGATGGAGACCAGCCTTGAAGATTCCCTGAGGAGGCAGAACCAGTTTGGTCATCCAGGGAAAGCTTAATTTAGCTTACTTTGCAAGGCTAACTCAAACTGGATCATTTCTTGCTTGTGCCTCTGGAAATGGTAAGTAAAACCTGAGCGGGTTCCCAAGGTTGAGATGAGGTGGCCACTGACTAGTGCCCTATTCTGACCAGTCACCGTGAAGAACAAGCTGCTCCCCAGCAGCGCCCCCGAGCCTCGTTCCTGTTCTGGCCTGAGTGCTGCCTGGCTGCAAACGGCCTTGGTGGTGTGTGCGCCGTACGTTTTCACTAGGGACTACCTCGGTGGTTCATTGGTTTTACCTTGGCTGTTCTGAACCTTTGACAGGGTTGGGGCTACCTGGGAGGGCTTGGCGGGTGTTGGAGTGTCCAAGGTCAGGTTGGGGTCACTTTGGGCAGCAAGGTAGCAAGGTTGGATTGGTGTCATCTGGGGCTGAGATGGTCATGATGCTGGGTTGGGGTCACCTTGGATGAGGAGGGTCCCAAAGCAGGAGTAGGGTCACCTGGTGCAGATGGTTGTCGGGCCAAGCAGGGGTCCCCTGGGGTAAGGTGTCCCCACGGCTCTGAGGACACTGCTCCCGGGCCTGGTGGTGGTTGCGCCGCTGTGGGTGTGCAGCACCAGTGCCATCAGGTCGCAGTGACAAACGGTGAAGTAATGACCAGAACAGGAGGCACGATTCTCTGCCCCCCAGACACCTGTAGGGGAGGGGGTCGGCACCCCTAGTGTTTCCTTCCTGACCCCTTTCTACCTGAAGTGGTCTCCTGCTGTGTTAGCTCTTCTGTCTCTCTCCCTGGAAGGTGGACTCCTAGGAGAGGGACTTTGGTGCACAGCTAAATCCTGGGGTCCAAGAGCCCTGGCACAGGGGAGGCGCTTGGTCAATATTTGTTGGATGAGAGAGTCAGAAGATCTGGCTTCAAATCTTGACCAGACCCCTAAGCTAGTGTAGGCATGTCTGAAAGGGTATCTCGCCGCAACCCTCCTTACCCCAGAACGACTCAGGAGACACGGGCCCACGCAAGATATTTTATTATTTGAAAGAGAAAACGGCTGCCCCCAGAGAGAGGGAACAGCAGCTCGTGGGTGAGGAAGTACATTTTTAAGGAGTAGGGGTAGGGTGTGTTCTGCATTGGTGATTGGATCTTAAGGGGAGGGCGACCATCTGGTCGGTGGTGATTGGATCTTAAGGGGTGGGGGGTCTTAGAGCACCAGAATTTGCCTTCAATGTGCTATTACCCTTTCTGAACCTCCATTTCCCAGCCCTGAAATTAACATGGTATAATAATAATAATAATACCAAACTCAAAGGTATTTTGTAGGGTCACGTGAAAATGTAGAAGGGCTTGTCACAATGCCTGGCACAGAAATGCTACATTAATGGTAGTGTAATTTGAGCATACCTGAGGACTTACCTGGCCTGCTCTCTCTAGTGAGACACAGAGAAGGGCCAATCTAGCACAAGGGCAGGCCAGGGTGGGTTAGGAATGGGCCGCAAAAATCTTAAAACCCTCCTTCCTACCAAACCTCACAGACTGCAGCCTCCACACCACCACCGAAAGTGGCTGCCAGGGAGCTCTGTGCACCTGCTGCCTGGTCCTCCCCTTCACCCTACCGCCTGTTTTTCTTTCAAGAACCGATCCTTGCCATTTCCCACTTAAACTGGTTACACCCTGCAATTTTTTCCAGCCATTTCTAAACCTGATCTCTGTTCTGCATAACCAAACACAGGATTAGAGCTGGGCTGGCTCAGAAATGCGCTAGGATGGAAGGAGAGGGTGGGGCCAGGGGAAGGGCCAGGCTGATCAGGACAGACAATTGCAAAGAGACAAGCTTCGGATTTTTGTTCTTATGCCCTTTGTAATCATTGTTAGCTATTGTAGCCACCCCCCAGGAGAGTGTGAAGGTCACTGACAAAGGAAGAGCGTTGTGTGCAAAGATTCCAAGCTCTGGACCCCTATACAAAACGACTACCACAGGAGGCTGGACCCTTTGGATGCCCTTCCACTATCACTGAAAAATTCATAGTTTCTGCTCAAGGCCCCCTATTGAAGAAGCAAATCAAACCCTGATGCTTCATCGAGTCTTCTCCCTCCAAGCAGAGGCCCGCATGAGGGTCATAATTTGTTCAGAAGCACACAGTAGAGCCAGGGTGCTCAGGCTTTCTGGGATGTAAAGCGCTCACATTCACATGCCATGGATGCATGCCATGGAATTACGTGGTAGCCTCCCTAGGGTTACTGTGGCCCAGACATTTCTCAGGATTGATGGCAAAAGTTAAAGTGGATGGTAACACTCATAAACAATTCTTAGGGCTTTACAAAAGGCAGTAAAACATTACAACAGTAGGTTACTATACATGGATATATGCATAAATATATGCATTTTAAAAGTGAAACCAGTATGTCAGCTCTTAATTTCTGTCTATCCTATGCCAAAATATGTATTTTTTTGTGCGTCAGTGTCAAGTTGCTGGTGTTCAATGCAGAATTTTAGAATAGGGCCTCTCTGATTGTTTCCATAGGAATAATGCTGTAATTAGGGAATTCACTGTAGACCAGGGGCTGGGCACATTCATTCAGTGATTGAGAGGCATTGTATCATAGCGGTTAAAACCAGCTATGGACTCTGGCCACACAGCGTTGACTTGGATCTGAGCTCTTACTGTCTTTCTGAACCTCTCTTTGCCTCGGTTTCCTTGTGTGAATAGGGATCATACAGTACAATCCACATCGCAGGATTGTTGAGAAGATTTGATGAATCAAAGCATACGGAATATATAGAAAAGTGCTTGGCACTTAGCAGGGGTCCAGTTCCCAGTCTTTGGGAGATTACCAGGGAAACCTTTTATAATCATCTCTGTACAGGTTCTTGCATAAAAATAAAATTTTTACATTTGAAAATAAAAAAGTTTTCATTTTTCTGAGGTAAAAACTTAGGAATAGGATTGTTGGGTTGAAGTGTATGTTTATCTTCTAAGAAACTGCCCAAATATTTTCCCAAGTGGCTCTACTGTTTTGCATCACCCTGGGCGGTACCTGAGAGCTCTGGTTTTTCTGTAAATGTGCTGGCACCCTTTTTTTTAGTCACTGTAGTAGCAATGTGGTAGCATGTTATTGTGGTTTAAATTTGCATTTCCTTAATGACTGATGGCATTGAACATCTTTTCATGGGCTTATTTGCCATACACATAGCCTTTTCAAACTCTCTGCCCATTTTTAAGAATTTGGTTGTTTTCTTACTGTTTTGAGCATTTTCTGTGTTCTGTGGATACAAGTTCTCTGTCAGGGAAATGATTCACAGATCCTTTCTCCCAATCCGTGCCTTTTTTATTCACGGTCTTTTGCAGAAAGAGTTCTTAATTTTGAGGAGGTCCAATCTGTCAATATTCCTCTTATGCTTTTGGTGTCATAGCTCAGGAATCTTTGCTTAAACCAAGGTCACTGAGATGCTCTCCTGTTTTCTGGTTTTAAGTTTTGTGTTTAGGTTATGCTCTATTGTGAATTAATTTTGTATAATGGATTGAGGTATAGATTGAAGTGTGTTTTTTCTCCCGCACATGGATTCTAATTGTCCCATCACCATTTGTCGAAAAGACTATTCCTTTTCCATTGCATTACACCTTTGTCAAAAATTGACTGCATTTGAGTAGGTCTATTTCCGGACTCTTTTCTGTTCTATTGATCTTTTAGCCCAGGATTTGGCAAACTTTTCCTGTAAAGGGTCAGATAGCAAATTGTTTATTTGAAATGCTATCTTTATCACATACTAAATTTTCATATATACTTTGTTATATGTATAGAGATGTTCTTTTTTTTTTATTAGCATTAGGGTTGATTTTTTTTTTTTGGTATCATTCTACAATTACATGAGGAACATTATGTTTACTAGACTCCCCCCATCACCAAGTTCCCCCACATACCCCATTGCAGTCACTGTCCATCAGCGTAGTAAGATACTGTAGAGTCACTACCTGTCCTCTCTGTGCTGTACAGCCCTCCCTGTGCCTCCACCCCCCATGCATGCTGATCTTAATATCCTCCTTTTTATCCCCGTCCCTTATCCCTCCCTTCCCACCCATCCTCCCCAGTCCCTTTCCCTTTGGTAACTGTTAGTCCATTCTTGGGTTCTGTGATTCTGCTGCTGTTCTATTTTGCTACTTCAGTTTTTTCTTTGTTCTTATACTCCACAGATGAGTGAAATCATTTGATACTTGTCTTTCTCTGCCTGGCTCATTTCACTGAGCATAATACCTTCTAGCTCCATCCATGTTGTTGCAAATGGTAGGATTTGTTTTCTTCTTATGGCTGAATAATATTCCATTGTGTATATGTACCACATCTTCTTTATCCATTCATCTACTGATGGACACTTGGGTTGCTTCCATTTCTTGGCTATTGTAAATAGTGCTGCAATAAACATAGGGGTACATTTGTCTTTTTCAAACTGGGCTGCTGTATTCTTAGGGTAAATTCCTAGGAGTGGAATTCCTGGGTCTAATGGTATTTCTATTTTGAGTTTTTGAGGATGTTCTTCTTTTTTACCGAGCTGTGACTATCTTAGTATAATATTGTTTTAATTAATGAAGTTATGTAACAACATATTTTAATGTTTGGACAGTCTCTGGT